TTCCGAGGAGGTGACAATTCAGCTGCGACCTGGACCTTCTCTTTCTCAGAAAAGAAACATTAAAAAATTTTAAGTTCATTACTTAAAAAATTGAAAATAAAAAATGACGTGTCACCCATGGGAATGGTAAAACAGAACCCCCCAAACGGACGCCCTGAACTCTCCAACATTGCCGCTGGGGGTGTAGCCCCTTTGGAAGACGGTCTGGCAGCTGCTCAAGAGGTGACCTGGCCGTCCCAAGAGAAATGACCATTTCTGTCCCTACAAAACCCTGCACCCGCGTGTTCATGGCAGCACGATTCGGTCGCCAGAAACGAAACCACCCAAATGGGCGGAAAAGCCGTGGACCGTTCATTCCAGGGAAGGTCGGGAACGTAAGGAGAACACGTCTCTAACGCTCACAAGAACATGAATGAATCTCCAGTGAATTACGCGGAGTGAAAGCTCGACGCCTTACCACGTGATTCCGCTGTGTGACATCCGGAAAGGACCGAGTTATACAGGGTGCACCTGAGCCTTTCCTGGGAAGGAGGGCAGAGGGGAGCGGTGGCCCCCACCAGGGATATGACGAGGGCTTGGGGGTGAAGAGAATGTTTTATTCCTCGATTATGGGCGGTGATCACACACTTCCGTGCTTTTGTCCAAGTTCATAGAACTGTCCACTTCCTAATTCTCAGTAAGCTGTAGCACGGCTGTGACAAAGGACTGCTCACTGGGTGGCTTGAAACAGAAATTCATCCTCTCTGCGTTCTGGAGCCAGAAGTCAGAGATCCGGGTGGGGCGGCCTCGCTCCCTGAGGCCCCAGGACCCTGCTTCCTGCTTCCGCCAGCCTCTGGGGGCTCCAGGGGCCCTGGGCTTGCGGCCGAGACTCCCTCCATCGCTGCCCCATTGATACTGGGGCTCTCTGTCAAATGTTCCCTGTGTGTGTCTGATGAGGACACTTGTCATAGATCTAGGGCCACCTAAGTAATCCAGGCTGATCTCATCACAAGACCCCTAGCTTGAGTACAACAGCAAAAACCCTATTGCCAAGTGAGGTCACATTCGCAGGCTCTGGGTCATGGGGGGGACCCCTCTTGCAGGGACCACCACTCAACCCAATAAACGTTACTTAAAATTAGAAACACCAAGGGCCACCACAGGACACTTTCTCCCAAATACGTGAGGTGTGCATTCTGCCTGGGAGTCGTTTGCAGCAGGATCCTAGACATCATACCCTCTCATCCATAAACACTCCAGTGTTTTATCTCTAATGCAGATTTGCAACTGGGGACAGCTCTGCCCCCAGGCGACACCAGGCGATGTCTGGGGACACTTGTGGTCAGGACCGGGGCCCTGCGGGCATCGCTTGAGTGGGGGCTGGGGACGCCGCTTCCCCCCCCCCCCCGCAGTGCCCAGGCCCCCGGGAGAAGATGACACCAGTGCCGGGGGAAGGGGGATGGTCCACTGTGGGGGTGTGACTCTGGGCATCCCTGTCCCGTCTGTGACCAGGTGTGTGACAGGGTCCAACAAGGGGTGACAATGATGGTCCAGAGGTGTCACCCCCGAGGGATCACGTGTGGGCTTCGAACCCTGCGGTCCTGACCTTTCATTCACACACATCGACACACGTGCACACACATATGCACGCACACACGCACTCTTGCACACGCTCACGCGCACGCAGCTGGGGAGCCTCGGCTGCAGTGAGTGCCTGCCCCCTGGCGGCCGGCAGAGGAGCCCACACGCCCCCCACCGATCGCAGCCACATCCTAACCCGGAGTCTTGGCTGCGGTCCCATGGGGGCTATAACCTCAATTTGGAAGGACCCCTCTGGCTTCTGGGGCCCCTATTCTATGGACACGGGGCTGAGCTGGGTCCATGGAGAGGGATGGGCCTAGGGTCAAGAACCTGACATTGAGGAGACCCGTTGAGTGGGTGGAGATGCAGGATGGAGCCGCCGGCCAGGAGTGTGCCCAGGACCGCTGGCTTCCTCGGTCCTCGGTTTGGGGGAGGGGGGAAAGGGAGGCAGAACTGGGGGATGTGAGGGGGCAGCGGGGCGCTGCAAGAGGGCCACCTGGGCACAAGTGTCTGTGTGTAGGGGGGTCACGGGGTGGGCAGGAGAAACGAGGGTGTGAGGGAAAGAGTGTGGGAGGAGATGAAGGCAGAGGCGCAGCCCGAGCCCCAGAGGGGCTGGTGGGTCCTCACCTATGGCCTGGGGTCCCCGCCTGTTACCCGGGGCCCTCTGCTATCACCTGGGGCTGCCGTTTATAATCTGGAGCTCTCACCGTGTAAGCTGGGGCCCCTGTCTGTAAGCCAGAGCCCTTCACTGAGCCTGCCTATTGATAACCTGGGGTCCCCACCTGTAACCTGGGGCCCTTTATCTGTCATACGAGGCCCTCCATAACCTAGCCCCCACCTTCAACCTAGAGCCTCCACATTTAACCTGGGGTCTCCCACTATAACCTGCCTCCCCACCCCCATAACCTGGAGTCCCAGCGCCGCCGTGGACCCAGACAGGGGCTTCCACTCCGTACACCTCAGTCAGTTCACCGGTGATAGAACATTCCATCTCCTCGAAAGCAACCCGTCCCCATCAGCAGTCCCTCCCCATTGCTCCCCAACCCCCAGCCCCTTCCCGCCCGGGGAGGAGCCTGTTCCGGACGCGTCACGCACGTGGACTCACACCCGCGTGGTCTCCCGTGTCTGGTTCCCGCCCTGAGCGTCGTGTGCTCGGGGTCCGTCCGCGGGCGGCGGGTGTGGGCGCCTTGTGTTTATACCTTCGTCTGTGGTTGGGTATTTGTCCCCCCCCCACTCTTGGCCGTCGTTGAGTCCTGCTGCTGTGAGCACACAGTGTGCAAGTCTGTGTGTGCACTGTGTGTAAGCCGGCACTGGCAGGGCCCGAAGCCGCATGTAAACGCCATACCCAACCTTCTGACTTTTTTCCAAAGTGACCGCACCATTTGTAGATTTCCAGTTTCTCCACATCCTTGCCAACACTTATTATTGTCCATTGTTGTTTTTTTTTTTTAATTTTTAAAATGTTTATTTTTGAGAGAGAGAAAGAGACAAAGAGCGATCAGGGGAGGGGCAGAGAGGGAGACACAGAATCCGAAGCAGCTCCAGGCCCCAGCTGTCAGCACAGAGCCCGACGCGGGGCTTGAATTCAAGAACCGTGAGATCAGGACCTGAGCGGAAGTCGGCACTTAAGCGACTGAGCCCCCCAGGCGCCCCGCTTTTTAATATCTTCAGGGTTGGTAGTGGTAACCCTTCTTTCATTCCTGACACTGGTCATCTTTTTTTCTTGGTGAGCATAGTTACGAGTTTTGTCATTAAAATGAAAAATCTTTTCAGAGAACAATCTTTTGGCTTCATCTGTTTTCCCTACTCTTTTTCTATTTCATTTTATTGGTTTCTGCTCTGGCATATAGAAGAATTCCCTTCTCAGCAGAATTTTGGGTTTGCTGGTCCTGCTGCTGAAGTGGGGCGCGGCCCCTCCCTGCAGAGTCACGGCAGTCCCCCTCCGTGGGTCCCGGAGGTGAAGACACCCATGGGCCACAACCAGCCACGTGCACTCGGGCACATCAAGTTTGCACGCAGCCTCAGGGCATTCACAGGTCCCAGCCCGGAGCCCAGACCTGATAACACTGCTCCCCGAGTTTCCACTTTCCCGGCCGTCGTGAGCCAGGAGCGTCACACGAGATGTGCAGACGACGAATCCGGTGCCGAGTCCGGTGCCGAATCCGGTGCCGGAAAACAGAAGGGAGGGATTTTCAACCTCGTCCGCCCACTCGGTCCACTCTGCACCCCGAGCACTGTTGGCGCCTCTCGGGTCCAGCGACTCCGCAAGGGCCTCTGGCCTGGAATATGCCACCTTGAGCCACTTTAAAAAAACACATTCTTTAAAATCTTTATTTCGGGGGGGGGCGGAGGGAGGGCGAGCGAGCGCGCGAGCAGCGGAGAGGCGGAGAGGGAGACGCGAAATCCAAAGCAGGCTCCGGGCTCTGCACAGAGTCCGACGCGGGGCTCAAACTCACGAACCGTGAGGCCACGACTGGAACCGAAGTCGGACGCTTGACCGGCTGAGCCGCCCAGGGGCCCCGGGCCACGTTTTTCTGTAGCGATGTCTGAAGTAAGCTCTGCGCCAACCCAACGTCGGGCTCGGAATCAACGCTCCCCAACCAGCGGGGCTCGCACGTTCCACCAACGGAGCCCGCCGGCGCCCCTCCCTGGGGCTACTGCGTGACCCTTGCCCCGGCCTCCGAGAGGTCTGTGGGTGAGGGGCCCCTCGAGGGCTCTGCATGCCGCACAGCTGTTCCCAGGTGGCCGTTGTCGCTCCAGACCTCCGAAGCGAGTCCCGAGCCCCTCAGAGGTCGACTCTGCGGGTTCGTCTCCCCGCGCCCGCTTCCCGCCAACCCCCCCCACCTCATGACGGGCGCCTCCGCGGGCCAATGAGCCAAGCCGTATTCACCCCCGGGGCGGGGCCGAGAGCGAGCCAATCCCCGCTTGGGCGCCTGCCTGGGTCCAAACGGCCCAATCGGCAGCGCCGGTGGGGCGGGCCGCGAGGCGGGGCCTGCTGGCCCAGCCAACGGGCGGACACGTAAGCGGCGGGAGGGGCGGGCCCCCACGGCGGCCGTGCCGCGGCGCGGCGGCGCAGGGCGGGGGCGGGAGGTAAACAAGATGGCGGCGGCGTGTCGGGCGCGGAAGGGGGAGGCGGCCCGGGGCGTCCGCGACTGAGGCGGGGCGCGGGCGGCAGCGGCTGCGGGCGCCGGCCGGCTCCGCGCCGCCTTGCATGGGCTGGGCCCCCGCGCCGCCCCGCCTGCTCCACACGTGCGGCGGCTGCGGCGGGGGCACGCGCCGTCCGGGCCCCGGCGGCCTCGGGAACCCCTGGCCCGGGCCTTCGGCCTGCGACGCCTCAGCCGCCCGGAGCCCTGCGGGGCCCCGCGCCCCGCGCCCCGCGGCCGACGGCGTTCTCGGCGGAGAGCGAGCGCGGGCTGCCGTTTGGGGCGGGGGACGACCGCTCCGGGGTCCCAGGCCGGTGTGGGGGCGCCCCGGCGGCGGCCGGCTCCAACGGAAGTTGCTCGCCGCGGCGGGAGGGCCCCGGGCAGCCCCCAGGCCCCCCGACGCGCGCCGGGGGCTGGCGGGGGCGGACCTCGGTACCCCCCGCGCCTTCCGGACAGGCACCTGCCGCAACCTCGGGCCCCTGGGACGACGGGCCCTGCGGGGAGCCGCCCCCAACAGCGCGCCCGGCCCCCAGCGAAGCTCGGCTGCCCAGCCTGGGGCCCTGGGGCCGGCCGGCCGCCGCGGGGCCCTCTCTGGGCGCGCGCCACGGCCCCCTGGTAATGCCCGTCCCGAAGAAGACTTGGTTTGGCCGCAACGGTGTTTGTCCGAGGGTCTAAAGTCCCTGGAGGATGACCTAGCACTTGGAAGCCCCACCGGCCTCCTGAGGGCCCCTGTGGACGCGCCGGCCCGACCCGGAGCTGCGAGGCGGGCAGGCACCCAGACTTGCGACCCTCCGCACCCGCGGGTGCCGGGGTTCTGGGCCAGGCGCGCCTCTTGAACTCACGACTAGTACAATCGTTTCTTTTCGAAGAAAGGGTTTCCTTTTTTTTTTCTTTGCGTTTTTGTTGTATTTTGGTTTTTTGGGGGTTTTTGTTTTTTTTTTTTTCCTTGGAGAAGGGAACTTTCGAGGGACAAAAGGAAGAACCGCTCATCGGGGGGAGTAGATAAGGAAGATAAGGGACGCCCGCCAGAGCGCAGGATGGATGTGGCCGACCCGCAGCAGCTGGGCATGTTTACGGAGGGGGAGCTGATGTCCGTGGGGATGGACACGTTCATCCACCGCATCGACTCCACGGAGGTCATCTACCAGCCACGTCGCAAGCGGGCCAAGCTCATCGGCAAGTACTTGATGGGGGACCTGCTGGGGGAGGGGTCCTACGGCAAGGTGAAGGAGGTGCTGGACTCAGAGACGCTATGCAGGAGAGCCGTCAAAATCCTCAAGAAGAAGAAGTTGCGAAGGATCCCCAATGGGGAGGCCAACGTCAAGAAGTAAGTGTGGGCTTCCTGGGTCAGCGAGCGGCCAGCCAGCAAGGTTGGTCATCTTCCGTCCTTCCCTTTCTTCTTTCCTTCCCCCCCTTTTCCTTCCCTTCCCCGTTTCCTTCAAACGCCGAGGTGGCCAGCAGGCTCTCGTGTCCTTCTTGCCAGGGAGAGTGTCGCTGGAAACCTGCCTCATTGCTCTCACGAAGTCAGGCCGTCTTGTTGCAGCTGGGTGTCCCGTTTCTTCGGATGCGGTGGCAAAGCCTTTTTTGGAGGGGGGCGCGGCCCCCCCCCCTTCCCAGCTGTCCAAAGAATTTAGGTGCCCAGTGGAACCAGCCAATGTTTATTTGGCCCTGAGAATCTGTGTTCCTGAACGGCTCTGGCCGCCACCAGCAGGTTTTCTGCGCAGCGTGCAGCTGTTACTAGGGCCAGGCGAAGCGCGACTTGTTTATCCTGTTGGAGGGGAGCCCTGCGGTGGCCAAAAATAATTGTTTGCACTGGCTTATCGGTCAGCAGGGGGTAACTTAGCCCTTTCTTGCTCAGTTGGGATGTGACCCTGGACACATCCGTGACTGCAGGCCCAGGTGACTCCCTGGGAGAGGAATCAATCAGCTCGTGTCCTGGCAAACTTTTTACCCAGACTTTCCTGGGCGCCCGTCAGCACCTGGGCCTTGCAGAGGTCTCCAGTCTGCACGCAGGAGGGTCCCCGCAGATGGTGGGGGCCGTGTCTCCATCCCTCTTGCTGGATCAGGAGGGCGTGCCCGTCCTTTCCGCTGCCACCCACTGGGACTCCACCCTGCCTGGGCACTGCTCCTCCCAGCCTCCAGTTTCCAAGAAGGGGGTTATCTAGTGGGCCAGGTGGCAGGACTGACCGAGGACCTTGGACGTCAGGGTGTCGGCCCTCCCCCCAGGCCCGTGCTATAAAGCGCTGCTCCCCTACCCGATTCACCTCCCCTTTCCCGGCCCCGCCTGCTCTCACCCAGGAGCTGAGCTGGGTTCATTCGCTCTGGCCGGCCCAGGTCCGGGGATGCTGAAATTGTGGATGGGCCGGAGAATGCAGACTGGACGGGCTCCTGTGTCGGTGCCCCTGCTGGTCGGTTGGCGGCGTGGTCCGGGGGCAGGGCGGGCCGCGCTTGCATGAGGCCTCGTTCCCGTCTTCATGCCCCGGCCTGGGATGGCCGGGTGCTCTAGGGCCCGTCGATCAGTTCTCTGCGCCCGTCTCTTACCTGTGACATAGTGTTGGATGAGGGCCACCTGCGGGCTGGGGGAGACTGAGGCGGGGGGCTGACCGGCACCCTCGTGAGGTCCAAGCGACCCCTCAACCCAGAGTCAGAAATCCCACTCAACTGCCGCCTTCTAGGTCACGTTTTCTCGTCAGGATAGAAGCACCCGGGATTGTACGGCCTCAGGCTGCTCTCTCCTGTGGGGCGTGCTCTCTCCTGCTTCTTGGACCCTGCCCCTGGCACAGCCCCTCTCCCGATGTCCAGGGTCCATCTTCGTCCTGCTGCCTCCCCTCTCGCCCCCTGGCACGTCTCAGGGCGCGTGGCTGAGCTCCTGGTTGGAGGTGGCACGGGCCCGCGGAGGAGCTCTGCGGCTGGCCACTGGGCCCCGTGCTGCTGTGGCCCCAGGCTCCTGGGAGCAGCGCCCTGAGGTTCCCATGGTCTCACTCAGGGGCCTGCGCTGGGTTCCGGCACCAGCTGATCTGCGGCAAGAGTCCCCCATGCCCACCCTGCCGAGTGTCCTGGGGCCCCCGGTGGGAGCAGAGTTTTGAGGCCCCAGGACTCTGGCCCCCTGCTGGGACTGTGGGCGAGTGCCTGCCCTGCTGAGGCACAGGATAGGTGTAGAGGCCAGATGCAGTGTGAGTCCTGACAAACGCACACACCCAAGGTCAAGTTAGAGGGCGTTTTACCGCCTCTGAGAGCTCCCTTGTACTTGTGGGAGACACGAACCAGAACTTGACTGGGGGGTGCTGAGCCCCGGCCTCCCAGTCTCCGTGCTCTTGACGGTCAGCCAGGGCCCCAGGCGCTTGTGGAGACACGTGGGTACGTGGTGTTGGGGCTGCAAGGGGCCTGGTCCCGAGGTGTCCGTCAGAAGAACCTGAGGGGAAACCAAGGCCAGGGAGGTGGAGTGGTTGGGGGTCCCCAGCTGGCTTGGCCCTTAGTGTAAGGTGTCCCAGTTGCAGGGCCCTGTGCCAGCCAGTGTCCATTTCAGCAGCTCGGGGCCTGGCTCTCAGGGGAAGGAAAGGGGTGTCCTTGCAGGGGGAGGTCTGTGCTCCTTGGCCGGCCTTGCTGCCAGCCGGCTGCGGAGGAAAAAAGGCTCCTTTGTCTTTGAGAGGCTTAATAAACCCCAATAGCTTTCCTCCAAGTGAAGTGCCCGGAACTGTCCAGACAAGCCTCTGGAGTCCCAACTTGGATCAGAAGCTTTTTTTCTTAAAGAATGACGTCTGTGATGAAGGTGGGGGGGGGACAGCCCGGGATTTCCCTCCTGTCGTGTGGCTCCCTCCCAGGAAGACCGCCTCGGTCTGCACTGCCCCTCTCCCTTCTCGCTTGTAAAATCCAGCGTGTTCTTGTTACAGAGTGAGAAAGTTTCAGAAAGCATCAAGAAAAAAAAAGAGTCACTTGTGATCTCATTTTGCTGCATTTCCTTCAAGTCTTTTTTTGTGGTTTTTAAACCTGTCCAAGCACTTTTTATACACCTCCATTGTTTTTAGGGAAAAAAGTGGTATTGTTTTTCTAAAAGGCAGTAGAATCACCTAGATTGAGCCCATAAAAGCTGGGAAGAGGGTATTTGGTGGGGTCTCCCTCCCTCCCTCTCCAGGGACAGGCGAGGCGATCCGCTGGCGTGTGTCCTGCTAGTGGGGTTTTGTGCAGGTGTAGACAAGACTGCACATCCGTCCCGTTTTGGCATGGCTGTCTCCCGGGCCGCAAGCATCCGTGCTGGAGCAGTGGGCAGGCAGCCGCGGGCAGCAGGTGCACCACTGAACGGCTGTGCCCACGGTCACGACCGACGCTGCAACTCCTTTTTCAGAGTTGGGTGCATCATACAATGTTCTTTGTGGGCTTTTTTTCCACCAGTTCTTTAGGAACGTAAAAGTCGCTTGCTGCTTACTGGCAGGTGAAGTTGGCATGTAAGGTCCGGGGCAGTCACTGGGGCGCCTGGGGGCTCAGTCGGTTAAGCGTCCGACTTCGGCTCAAGTCATGATCACACGGTTCATGGGTTCGAGCCCCACGTCGGGCTCTGTGCTGACAGCTCACAGCCTGGAGCTGCTTCAGATTCTGTGTCTCCCTCTCTCTCTCTGACCCTCCCCCGCTCATGCTGTCTCTCTCTCTCTCTCAGAAATTAAAAAAAAAAAGTCTGGGGCGGTCATTGTTGCCCCGCAAGCCGTGGTCCTTGGACCCCTCCCGGCTGCCGGGTCTCCATGTGGTCTTGTTGGGGCGGCCGGGCTCCACACCGGGTCCCACCCGCCTTGTGCTGGTGGCTCTGTTGATGAATTACCTTTTGCCACATGCCTTGATAAGCGCAAGGGTGCTTGAAGGGCACGTCACCACATGTGGAGTTTTGGGGTCAAAGGTGCGTGTGTGCTTCTGATAAGCTGTGTCCATACTGCGGGTCCCCCAGCCTCCCCAGTCGGTCTGGTCCAGCCATATGCTCCATCTGCGAGTTTCGGCACCTGGTGCGGCAGTGGCTCCGTACGCGGGTGCCGGGCTCCAGGCTGGGGCTGCCTCGTGGTGATCGGCAGATAGTTGGATCTGGGTGGTGAACGGTTGGGATTGTAGTGTGTTAGGATCAGAGACCTGGACTTTGTCGGGTCCTGTTCTTGTCCCAGGCGGCCTTCACAGGGTGCCCCACCCGGTATCGGGAGCCCGGGCTGGCTGGGTGCCAGAGGTGGCAGCAGGAGGGCGTGGTCGTCCGCTGCAGCTCTCGGTGACCATCCTGGCACCCTCCTGGATGTCCACTCCTTCCCTGGCTCGGGCTCATTGCGAAGTGTGTGAGCTCGGGGCTGTAGGTAGGGAGCTAGGCCTCGGAGCACACGGGACGCTGGCGGAGGCGCCCCTTATTCCAGATCTGCCATGTGACTGAACTGCAGTTTATTCTTTTAAAGACTTTATCGATACGGAACTCACATACCGCATTTATGGTGATAACGTGATTCGGTGGCATTTAGTACTTACACGGATTATGAACTCTCAACGCTGCACAACTGGGGAAGGTTCCATCTCTCCAAAAGCAACCCCATCCCCATCAGCCGTCACCTCCACCCCTTCCCCCGCCCCTCCTGTGAGCCCCTTCCTGTCCGCGGATGGGCCTGTTCTGCACGTTTCACACACGTGGACTCACACCCCGCGTGGCTTCTCGTGTCTGGTTCCCTCCCTGAGCGTCGTGTGTTCGGGGTCCGTCCGCGGGGCGGCGGGGGTGGGCGCCTCACTGCTGAGGGGCGTGCGTGTGTGCGGTGGATGCACCTGAGGGACGTGCGTGGTGGACACTGTCATCTGTGGGCGTGCGCTTGCACGGATCCACCACGTCGTGTTTACCTGCCAGTGGGGTCTTCAGGACGTACCCACTTGATGCCTCCTGTGAGTCGTGCTGTTGTGGACGCGTGTGCACTGTTCTCTGCGCAACCTCCCTTGTTTTAGTCTCCCTTCTGGGACACCGTTCAGAAGCATCAGCAGAGGGGCTGAGGTGACAGGATTTTGCTCGGTGTCCCTCTGCCAGCTCTGCCATGGCCTCTCGTCTGCCTCTCGGGAGCCCGGTGGCCCCTTCCTTGTCTGAAAGGGAGTGACATGCAGGTCGCTCTTCGGCTGGCGCGGCCTCGCTCTGGGCCTCGTGGAGCCGGTGCTTCTCAGGGCAGCAGGCCGGTGTCTGTCGCTGTTTGTTTTGTTTTGGGCCGACCTGACCGTGAAGGCAGCAACTTCTCTGTAAGCTTGGATGACTTTATGACCGTCATTCAGCTTTTCCTCTAGTTAATCAACAGGTCGGCTAAGCGTCCACTTTGGTTGGGGAGCAACCCTGGGCAGGTCCCAGGCAGCAGCCAGGGGTGGAGGTTGTGACCACAGGCACTGAGCTTGTTGGGGGGTGGCGGGCCGGAAGGCACCACTTCCTCTGCCTCCACTTCCTGCTCTGGGCTGAGCGCCTCGCCTTTCCTTTCTCATTACACATTGTTTTTCCTTGTGTTTGGACCCAAAATGTAACCCGTAGGGGACACTGAAAGTACAGAGGTGATTCCTGAGCAGAGGGCTCGATGTGCCCTCCTGCACTCGCCCGAAGCTCTGGCCTGCGGTGTGCGGGCAGCTGCCCCCCCCTGCTGGGGTCTGACATTGTGTCCGTCCTTTCCTGGTAGAGATAAGGCAACTCGAGTGCTCGCTCATGGTGCTCTGATCACAGTGAATCAAATAAACAAGTGGACCGCCCATCACACCCACGGTGGGGCCTCCTGGTTACGTCAGAGCGTGGACTTTTTTTTTTTTTTCTTTTTTAAGAACAAACTTTTCGGGGCGCCTGGGTGGCTTAGTCGGTTAAGCGTCCGACTTTCGCTTGGGTCATGATCTCACGGTTCGTGGGTTCAAGCCCCGTGTCGGGCTCTGTGCTGACTGCCAGCTCAGAGCCTGGAGCCTGTTTCAGTCTGTGACTCCCTCTCTCTCTGACCCTCCCCTGCTCACGCTGTCTCTCTCTCTCTCCTAGAAATAAATAAATAAATAAAAAAAAAAAAAAAAAAAAAAAAAAAAAAAAAAAAAAAAAAAAAAAAAAAAAAAAAAAAAAAAGAACAAACTTTTCGTATTTCGGAGGACTGTTGAGCTGTTTCACTGCAGAGGCAAGGGTGCTGTCCTGTAGTTTGGATTCGGGTTTGTGCTGTTATCGTCTCGCAAAGGATGAATGTGGGGGGTAGAGGGGGAGGCATGGAGGAGGACGCAGGGCTGTGGGCTTGCCTTCCTCGTGCTGAGGACCCCGGTGGGCTTTCTCGGGGCCCTGTGACTGGCAGCGTGGGGTCAGCACTGTGGTCCCAGGCTCCGCCCACCGGCGTCTGCATGGAGCTCGCCAGACCCTGTGGTCCTGCTCCCCCTCGGCCCCACAGGTGCCCCCATTCAGCTGGAGGAAAGAGAGCCCCCCTGGTCTCCATGCGTGCATTTTATCTTTATTTTATTTCTAGATTTTTAAGTAGGCTCCACACCCGATGTGGGGCTCGAACTCACAACCCTGAGATCCAGGGTCACACGCTCCACCGACTGATCCAGCCAGGCCCCCCGTTAACACGTGCATTTTAGTTGTGTTGCAGGTACCTGAAGTGATCTCTTTGGGTGAAGAGGGGCCTGAGCAAGTTGCCAGGGCCGGGAGGGTGGCACAGACGGGTCGAGGAGGCACTGGACTCCCCAGGCTGCAGTCCGTTGACCGGAGCTGTCCCGACATGGGGCACAATGGCGTTCCGGTGCCGTGGGCTGTGCTGCCTGTTCCCGGTCCTGGGCGCGGTCTCAGGAAGCTGGAGCTTGGAGGAGTCGGAGTCTGTCTCTGTGGCTGACCCCGTCGGTCCCCACTGGGCGTGCAGGGCTTGCTAGCTTAGCTCCCGGCCTGCACATGCGCCCTTCTCTTCTGGGGCTGTCTCACTCCTACACCTTTGCTGAATCCACCTGGGCTGTCGACCCCTTGATAGGCATCCAGGCAGCACCTGGCCATGACTCCAGAGGCTGCTGGGGGTGGGGTGGGGCTGATGGTCAGCCACCCCCCATAAATGGGTGTTTGCGGCCACCCTGTGCCTGTTGGGTACAAATGGAGGGTGATGGGCCAGTAGGTGGAGAGTCCCACAGGGAGCAGGGCTGGGGCAGGCAGGGCAGTGGCATGGTTGGGGGGGGGGAAGGGGCATGGGAGGAAGATGGGGCCTGAGTTCCAGGACGTCCTGTGCTTGTCTGGAGGGGCTCAGAGCGGGACTGGGGGTGGCCTGAGGGTCTGTTCCCACCCATCACGGACCTTGATCCTTTACAGCAGGGGACCATCGTTCATCCCTCACCGACACCACCTGGCCTCCAGAGGACAGTGGGCCATGTTTGGGGACGTCTGTGGCTGTCAGGGGTTGGGGGTGTGGGGATGCTACGGAACTAGTGTCCAGGACTTCCCCACCAAGAGTGACCTGCCCAGAATGTCAGCAGTGCCGATGGGGAAAACAAGGGTAGAAATTTCACTGTGCCTGGAACCCTCTGCTAGGGGGCTGGGGAGTGGGAACGGGCTTTGGTTGGTGAGTTTGTGGGAGAAGTGACGGCAGACCTGTGCTTTGTTCTGTGCGTTGATGGCCTCTGGGTCTGGGGTCTCTGGTCTGGGGTGCGGGGCTGTGCGCACACACTGTTTCCAGGGCCCTGGGTGGTTCCAGGCATTGCACCGCAGAGGGCCTGCACTGGGGAGGGGGGTGTCAGGGACATGGAGGGCTGGTTGCCGGAGGAGGCCCCCTGGAGGAGGCGGCCGGGCCTGAGTCTGTGGGGAGGATGGGCTCTCTCGGCCATGCTGGAGCTTCTGCTGAGGACTTCCCGCAAACCTTCACCGAAGTACTACTCACCACTCTACAGTTTGGTGGCATTTAATGTATTCGTGGGGATGTGCAACCGCCGCCACACCCTTACCTAGTTTGTCACGCCCTAAAGCAACCCCATCCCAATCAGTCATCACCCCCCCCCCGCCCCCACGAGCCCCCTCCCGCCCGTGGAGGAGCCTGTTCTGGACGCGTCACGCACGTGGACTCGCACCCCGCGTGGCCTCTCGCGTCTGGTTCCCTCCCTGAGCGTCATGTGTTCAGGGTCCGTCCGCCTCCTGCCTGTGGCCGAGGGATGTGCGTGTGCGCGGTGGACACGGTCGTCCGTGGGCGTGCGCATGCGCGGTGGACACGGTTGTCTGTGTACGTGCGCAGTGGACATGTTAATTTGTGCGCGTGCACGGTGGATGCACTTGCGTGAGGTGCGTGTGCGTGGGGGACACATTGTCCGTGTCTGCTCGACCTTCGGTGGACACTGGGGTTGTTCCAGCTTGGAGGTTTCCAGGCTTCTGTGTGGACGTGTTTTCGGCTCTCACGGGTACAGTCGGTTCAGCTGTCGACCTGCAGCTTCCTGAGGGGCTGCTGGCCGTTCGCCCCACAGCTGCCGGCTATGAGCCCCCCCGCCCCCCGGCCCTGTTCAGACCCTGGGGAGACGAGGTGGCCGAAGGCCATCAGCAGAGCGCCAGCGCTGGGCACGGGCTGGGGGGCGTGCATGGGGCCGGGTGGGCCATGGCGTGCGCTCTGGATGGGCCCCGCCCGGACGGGAGCAGCGGAGGTCTCTTGGGCGCTCTGTCCTTCTGTGGGGCTGCGGGGCGCCAGGGAGAGCAGGGGGTGCCCGTGGTCACGGTCCAGCCGTGGCACCCTCCCGGGGCTTCGTCCCCACGGAGAGGCACAGAAGGGATGCAGGGAGAACGGGCATAGCCTGGCCCTGCTGTGTTAACCGAGCCCCCGGTCCTGCACAGGGTGGGTGCGCTCCGCAGGACGCCCTGAGGGCAAGCTCTCTCTCCCCGGTGGTGTTCTGAGCAGGTGGTGTTCTGAGCTGGCGCGGCACCTACCGTCCTAGCTGGCCGGTCTGCTGACGCCTCTGCTTTGTACCCGCAGGGAAATCCAGCTTCTCAGGAGATTACGGCACAGAAACGTCATCCAGCTGGTGGACGTGTTGTACAACGAAGAGAAGCAGAAAATATATCCTTCTGGCAGCCGGGCTGCTCTGCGAGCGCTGGGTCAGGGCCGTGGGCAGGGTGGTGGGGGGGGTGGGGGGTAGATTAGTAGGATTTGGGGCGGTGTCTTCAGACCCGGATCCAGAACCTGGTCCTTGGTGACTCCAGAAGGTGGGCTGGCACACCCAGGAGCTGCTGCGGCAGCACCAGCCCTGGGCGGCCTTGTCTGGCCAGTGCCACCTGCCAGGTTCCCAAAGTGTCTTTGGACCTTTGCTTGTGTGGATGCTGGGCCTTCTCTGTGTCCTGTGCCCCAGGGTGGGAGTGCTGGATTTAGGTGACCCTGCGTTTTGGGGGTCATAGGCCTCACTCCTAAGTTCAGGGGCCTCATGGAGGGTGCTCTCCTTGCCTCTGGCATTCAGGCTGCACCTTCCCCTTCCTGGCTGCTCTGTTTGGGGTCGAAGGTGGGGTGGGGAGTGTCATTGTGCAGGAGCGCTCCACTGGGAGTGTCCGTGGCTCTGCCCTTTTCTCTCTGGGGATGGGCCTGTGTCTTCAGGGTGGTGTGGCCCCCACAGGCTCCAACTCTAGGGGCAGCTTGTGGGGGCCCCAGGGTAGCCGAGGGCTGATGTCTTTCCACATAGGCGCCTGTCACTGACTTGCTGGGCACAGAGTGACAGGCTTTCCAGCGTCTCCAGCATGGTGCTCTCAGGGCCATCTCTGGTGGAGACGTGGCCGGAGGCCTTGACCTCTCCTGCTGGCCTGAGACACAGCCGCCTCCAACCTGGCCTGGCTACCCCCAGGCTTCCCTCCCCTTCGCCCCACCTGCCCCTCCTCCTGCCCTGCAGCCTTTGTCTCCTCACCTCCTGCAGGGCCAGGGGTGAGGCAGGAGCCCCTCAGGGTGTCGAGAGCTTCTTGTGGGCCCAGGGGACTGAGCCCAGACAGCTCACCCACGTTGACCCCGAGAAGGTCAGCGGAGGGGCAGTGACGGCCCACAGGCTGCGTGGTGTCTCTGGGCTTCCCTGTGGTCTGGGGGGCACGCCTGCGTGCCTTTGTAACACAGTCAGCAGATGCCGTTGGGGTCTTCTACCCCACATGCTCCCCATGAGCATCTGCCTGTCCGTCCCCGGGGGTGCTCACCTGGGCTGGGGGGTCTCTGCCGGCGCCCAGATTCCTTAGCCCCGCACGTATATGGTGATGGAGTACTGCGTGTGCGGCATGCAGGAGATGCTGGACAGCGTGCCTGAGAGGCGGCTCCCCGTGTGCCAGGCCCACGGGTGAGTGCTTGCTGCTGGCCCGTGCTTCCCCATCCCTCCCGTGGGCGCAGCCACACCGGCCCCAGGGTTTGGAGGGCCTAGGCCCGTGTTCAGACGAGGTTTTCTGGTCGTCAGTGAAACGGATGCTTCTGTGTGTTTTAAAGCTCAGCTTCAGGGGCCTGGTTTGCAGCCCCCTGGCTATGGGCAGCGGCTTCTCCGTGTATCTGCCTGCCCTGACATGCTCCCCGCCTCAGACTTTGGGACCTCCTGGTCCTTGAAAAGCCCCTGACAATGACCCGCCCTGCCCCAGGTCAGCTGGCCCTCCTGGGGGGTGGGGGGTCGCACTGCTCAGTCCCCTGCTGATGCCTGCGGCATGAGGGGAAGGGGAGCTGGCAGAGTGAGCCTGGGTCCTTGGCCCCAAGGGCTCCTCCAGGGAGGCTATGCAGTCATGTCCAGGCAGAGTGATTGTGGGGACGCAGCACGGCCCTTGGGCTGATGGGGAGCATACAGAAGGGCTGCCTGAGGTGGGGCGGCAGCTGGCGGCCGGGGAGCCCTCCTTTGCCTTTCCCAGGAGGGACCAGGAAGGGCTCAGATTGGCCAGTGTCCCTCTGGTTCCCTGCTAGGCCACCTGCCATGTCATCGCTCTGTTGGTGCAGCCCCAGTGATGCCCAAACTGTAGCCTGCTGTCTCGAGTCCTGCAGCCAAGGGGGACCCGAGGGGCAGGATCACAGCTCTCGGTGGGGTGGGCAGGTCATGGAGGTCGTGTCCCTCAGGTACTTCTGCCAGCTGGTGGACGGCCTGGAGTACCTGCACAGCCAGGGCATTGTGCACAAGGACATCAAGCCGGGCAACCTGCTGCTCACCACCGGCGGCATCCTCAAGATCTCTGACCTGGGCGTGGCTGAGGTAGGCGCGCCTCCTCGTGGTGTGGGTGGGGGTGCACCCGCCAGGGCTGCTCCCTGAGGTCTGCCTGGCATTGCTCCAGGCCCTGCACCCCTTTGCCGAGGACGACACGTGCCGGACGAGCCAGGGCTCCCCAGCGTTCCAGCCCCCCGAGATCGCCAACGGCCTGGACACTTTCTCTGGCTTTAAGGTGGACATCTGGTCGGCTGGGGTCACTCTGTAAGTGCCCATGGGCCTCAGTCCCTTTGCTTCGCCCCCCGCCAGGGGCCCCTCCTTTGCCCACCAAGGACTCAGACCTGTTTGGGCTCCAGGCTTCTAGAACTGCTCCTCTTAGTGTGTCCCCCCCACACACCGTCCCGGGCTGTGCTGGGTGGCCAGAGAGCCTGAGAAACTGGAGCCAAGATGAGGAGCCCCCTGTGGGTTGGAGCAGAGGGGACTGCTCCCCCGCCTTGTGGGACCCTCAGGTCAGCCGTGTGGGGGCGCACACGGACCGGCCTTCCTCTCAGCTGTGAGGGCCCGTGCTGGTGTGTCTGCACCGGCTCGCACCCCAGCCATAGCTGTTGTCTCGGAGCAAGTGTTTCTGTCCTGACTCTGCTGTCATCGTGGAGAAGCCTCAGACACGGCAGGTGGGAAGTGAGGCGGCTGCTGTGTCCCCCCGCTGTACTCCTCCGTCCCTCAGGGCACCTCCCTGTGTGCTTCTGCGTCAGCAGCGTCTGGTGGGCTCCGCTGTTCTGTGGGAGCCCAGGCGCTCACAGCCTTGTGCCTGCCTCATAGGACAGGCCCCAACTTTCCAAAACCTTCTCTCCTGTCTCTTGGCAGGGCCGCTGCCGGCTGGCATGTGTGTTTTGTTTCATTTTTATTTCTTAAGTATTCATTTATCTATATTTGAGAGAGTGAGAGCAGAGGGGCAGAGAGAAAGATAAACAGCGAGTCCCAAACAGGCCTCACGCTGTCAGTGCAAAGCCTGACGGAGGGCTCCATCCCCCGAACTGTGAGATCACGACCTGGGCCGAAATCAGCAGCGGGATGCTTAGCCAGCTGAGCCACCCAGGCGCCCCTGGGTCTTATTGAGAGAGAATTCGTACGCTGTAAGATGCACTCTCTCAGGGTGCACGGTGTGGCGGTTTTCAGTGTTCTCAGCGTGGCTGCAGCCACCACCGGCACCTGATCCAGAGCATTCCTGCACTCATTGTGGGCCCCGCAGCTGAGGGGGGTTTGTCAGGCTCCTGTGCCAGGCTGGTCCCGGGCCGGGGCTGCAGGAGAAGCCCCCGCTGACCGGGCCTCTCTCCTTCCCCTCGGGGGCGAAGCTATAACATCACGACAGGCCTGTACCCATTCGAGGGGGACAACATCTACAAGTTGTTTGAGAACATCGGGAAGGGAGACTACACCATCCCGGGTGACTGCGGCCCCCCGCTCTCGGACTTGCTGAGAGGTGAGGCCCTCGGGACGGCACCTGGGGGGCTGGAGGCGTCGGGAAGGGGCTGCCAGCGGGTGGCGGGGGTCTTGGGGGGCTTCTACAGACCACTGGCCTCTGGAGAGCTGGGTCGTGTCTCTGCAGCCCCACGCCCCACGTGCCCAGCTTGTCTTCCACCACCCCCAAGGGATGGGCCGCTAGTAGAGAGTGGCTGCCAGGTTGACCTGTGAGGCCGAGGCCAGGAGGGCACAGCCGACTTCCTTGGGCCCCACGACCTGCTTGGGCCTTGGTGCCACCCTCTTCTGGGCCCCCAGCCCTGTTGCCGGTCTCTTCCTGCTGCGTGTCCCAGGCTGGGCAGCAGGGGGCGCTGTGCCCCCGCGGCAGCGGGCCTGGCCAGGGCGCGGCCCATCCTGAGGGGCTGGGGCAGCCACAGCAGGCATCCCGAGGTCCCAGGAAGCCTGTGTTTGGGCCCGGCGCGTGATGGGCTGGCACCCCCAGAGCACCATCCGCAGGTATGAGTGGTGCCTAAGGCTTGTCACCCAGATAGCGCCTTGGGGACCGTTTCTGCCTGGTGTCCTCATGCTCTGGCGCGTCACTGGCTTTACGCTTGGCTCAGGTTGAACATTCAGTAGGATCTAGAGCTCCCGTGACTTCAGCTGAAGTGGTAGGTTCCCGTCACTCTGGATGTGCTCCGGAGCCAGAGTCCCTGGTAACCGAGGCAGGCTAGTGCTTATGTTCACGTTCAGGTGGCCTGAGGCGGGGCATGCTGGGCTCCAGCGGCTGCATTCCCAGTGCCGGGCAGCCTGTGCTGCCCCCCACTTTCTGCGGGGCCCTGTGCAGGCAGCCATCCCACGACCTTTGAAGGCGGCTGAGCGTGCAGCCCAGCCCCGTTCCTGCAAGTGCTGCGGCCCAGCCCGCCTGCTGCTCAGACCTGGCTGCCCCCCCCCATCCCCAGCCCCCGCCCCAGTGCTCCTTGGAAGCCCTGGGGCACTCTGGGGGAGGGTTGTGACATCCACCCTCCCCGTCATCCAGTGTGCCCAGAACACAGCCCTCTCCCCCTACTCCCCCCCCCCAGGCTGTCTTCCACCGAAGATCATTGTAGACACGGCTGAGATGGAAGAGGGTGGGGTGGCACTTTCTCTTGGACAGACACCGGCCGATTCATGTTTTCTCTAAACAAAGCTTTCTTTGCTTGGCCTGTTATGTTTCTTTTATCAGTGCTCCAAATAGCCCTGTCAGGCTGTTTAGTTAGATGGCCAGGGGCTTCCGGCCCTGTCGCTTGTCTCCTCCAAGGCGTTTGCCCTAAGGGTGAGGTGGCCCCAGGCTCATGGTCAGCTGATTCCTCTGCATTGCAGCCAGGCCTGCCTCAGGGCCTTTGCACTGGGGTACTCAGTCTGGAGGCTCTTCCCATAGCCAGGACTGGGTGGTTGCCTTCCTGTGTCTACCACCCGGGCCCTGAGGCCTGGGATCCACCTTCAGCTTTCCAAATCACCACATGGTTTGGAGAACAAAGCCGCCCTCCCCAAGCTCTCAGAGCTGCGTACCCCCCCCACCCCCACCCCGTGGAAGGTGGAACTGGAAGCTGCAGGCTCTGGGGTGGGACTTGCCCCCCCAGTGCCAGGCCCTTATGCGAACATCCCTAACATCCATGGCTCACAGCTCTCATCGGCCTCCTGGCTACTGGTTCCCTCTGGCTGCCATCTCGGGGACCGTATGGTCCTGGCTAGCAATGCTGACCACAGCGTCACCGGCCGTTGGTCGGCTGGGCACCAGCAGAGCGCAGGCCTGTGTGTTTGACTTCCCCGAGTACGTGGACAGTTTCTGGGTCGCTGTGAAGGGACTCCTCTGCTCCCTGGCTGCCCCGGTGTCTGCTTTCTACCCAGCGGCCTCCCGGGGTCCAGGGCCGTGCACACCTCGCGTTCACACTGTTCTGGACTGCGCGTTGGCCCCGTGTCGGGGGCCAGGCCTGTGGGGGGCTGGCCGGGTGGAGTGCCTAGAGCACTCAGCGCGGGCTCCCGCACACGTGCCCGCACCACCTTCTCCTGAGGGTGTCCTCTGGGCACAGGCTGATGCCGGGCGGGCCTGGGGCCGCATGCCCAGCGCTGATTCCCCACGCTCTGCTGGTCTCCTGTCAGGGATGCTGGAGTACGAACCAGCCAGGAGGTTCTCCATACAGCAGATCAGACAGCACAGGTGAGTGTCCCGTGTGGGGCCAGCTGCGGTGGTGGGGGGACCTGGGGGTGCGCGTGGTGGGAGTGAGTGGGGGTCTGGGGGTGCGCGTGGTGGAGGTGAGTGGGGGGTCTGGGGCTATCTGGCCACACTCCCCCGCTGGCTTTTAGGGCTGGGCCCGAGGTCGGGAGGTGCCCCGTGTGGAGGGCAAGCCCCCGTGCCGTCCTGACCCATGACTCCCACAGCTGGTTCCGGAAGAAGCACCCGCCGTCAGAGGAGCCTGTGCCCATCCCACCGAGCTCGGACTGCAAGGACCGCTGGCGGGGCATGACCGTGGTGCCCTACTTGGAGGACCTGCACGGCTGCGCGGACGACAATGGGGATGAGGACCTGTTCGATATCGAGGACGACATCATCTACGCTCAGGATTTCACGGTGCCCGGTGAGTGTGGCCGCCTGGCGGCCTGGCCCAGGGTCCCCCTGCCCGCGGTAGCAGGGCTCATGTCCCCGGAGGGGACCCGCCTGTGTTCTGGGGAGTGCACACCATGTCCTGCTGGGCGGTCAGATGGGAGGAAGCCCCTCCGACGGCCCCAGAGGGTCCAGTGGCCCTCCTGGTGCCCGGCCACCCACCCTGATGAATGTCGCCTTGCTTCCCCAGGTGGCGAGGAAGCATCTGAGGCAGGGCTTAGAGAGGAGAGAGGCACGCAGAGGAGCCAGTGCTCAGACCTTTCTGGAGAGGAAGCTGAGGCCGGGGGCACAGAGCAGCTCGGGGCGTAGTGTAGCACGGCCCCCCCAGTGCCGTAGAGGCCAGGCCTGGGCCCCCCTGCCGCCCTCACCGAGAGCCTGCGCTGCTGCCCCAGCGCCCCCACCCCACTCCCTCGCAGCACAAAGCTCTGTTCTGTCCTGGGGCCGGCCTCGAGGGCGCCTGTCGTGAAGGTTTGCCTGCTGTGTATACGGGGGTGATGCTTGTCTCAACCCTTTGTCCTGGCTCATTTGCCAGGGGTGAGGCTTGTAGTGTAGAAAGAACTGTTGTGTGGAGGCACCTGTGTGGTGGGTAGGGGCCCCGGGGAAACCCCAAAGCTGTGCTGCTGCCAGAGCGTGGCGGGTTCGTGTGTCCCGCTCACATGGGGGTGTGCTTGGGGGTCTGTGACAGCCCGTCGCTGTTGGCTGCAGGGTCGTCTCCGAGTCGGTGCCTCCTGGACCCCGAGTTTCTGTGGGCTTTGGCTCAGTCATTCCCCTGCCGGGTCCTGAGACCTAATCCCAGGAGGTGACGTGTGTGTGACCTCCTGGCTGCAGGAGCCCCGGCCTTCCGGGCATCTGTGTCCTGCGGGGAGGGGATGAGGCCCTCTACCTCTCAGACGCGCCGGGGGCATCGTGTCAGGTACTCGTGAGGGACCCTCGCCAGCAGCCAGTCTTCTGTCCCATGCACCCCAAGTGGGGACCCTGCCCGACCCGCAGAACCTTGCCAGACCACCGACAGCGTATATTGGCCCCCCTGTACCCTGTGGCCCGTGTGGGAGGCCAGGGGCTGCCCCTGACAGGGAGGGGAGGGCACATCCAAAGGCGGGTCTCCAGGGTTGGAGCCAGGTGTCCGGCCAGGGGTGTCGTCTGTGTCAGAAGCACCGCAGTCCTGCTCCGGGACTGGTGGGATTTTCTCTGACCGCCTGTGGGTCAGCAGTGGGCTGTGCTAGGGCCACGACCCCGCCCCACTTCAGTCCCAGTGGGGTGCTCCTGCCCAAGGCTCTTGGCTGCTTGGCCTCAGTCTCCCTGGACTGTCCCCTGCTGTGAGGCTATGCCGCTCACCCTGAGAACTGGGTCCCGGACCTTGGGCCGGAGTGGAGATGGGTGGTTGCGGGCCAGGCCCTCGTCCCTTGAGGGCAAGGAGGCCAGACCCTGTGCGCCTCCCCAGCCACAGCTGCTGTGCTGGTAGCTGGGCTCCAGGTCGTCTGTGCAGAGATGCCCCCCCACCCATGGTCCTTCCTCCATCAGATCAGGGCACCTGACCCCCGAGAGCTTTCCTTAGCAGGAGCCTGTCAGCAGTGAGGAGCTCTGACCTAGGATGCTTTGTGTGTGCATAGGAGTTGGTCATGGCAAGTTCCAGAAGCTGCTGAGTCTGGCAACGGGCCTCTTGGCCTAGAGGGGGCTCTGTGTTGGGGAAGAGATGGGCTGGAGGCCAGCTGTGGGCAGCAGGCTGATTTTTCATGCGCTGAATGAGGCACATGGGCCCTGGTAGGTGGGCCAGCCCCTACCTGCCTTCTCTTCCCCCACCTCAGAGCGCAGGAGTTCAGGCCGGCATGCCGCCCCGGGCCCATAGCCCCCGGAAGCCAGCGAGGGCTGGTGCTGCCTGGTGGAGAGTAGGGACTGATAGGCCCCCGGCTCTGATCTCTTCATCCCTGGCCCGGCATGGGGAGCCAGGGCTGGCATTCATGGGAGAGATGTGTGTTGCACACCTGGCCTGAGCCCAGCCAGGTGTGGCCTCCTCACAGGCAAACAGCCTGTGCCCAGGGCTCTGTGCCCCAGGACCTTGGTCCCTTCATCACGTGCTGGGGTGGAGGGTGAGCACTCAAGCCCACCTGAGTGCACACACCCGGCTCACACCTGAGCAGGCAGGTGAGCATGAGCTGGATCCCCCCCACCCCGGCTGGCCAGCCCGGGTCCAGTGCTCCCTTTAGTTGGATGGAGGCCCTGCAGGCAGGGCAGGTGGTGGAGGATCCCGGCTGGGTCGAAAGGACCTAGGCCCGGACAGGTGGGGATGTAGCCTGGGGACTGGGGGGTCCCTGGGGGTGTTGGTCTTGGACCCCCATCAGCCCACACTTGCCCTCTCCCTCCTAGGACAGGTCCCAGAGGAGGAGGCTAGTCAGAACGGGCAGAGCCGGGGCCCGCCCAAAATCGTGTGCGTGAATGGCACGGAGTCGGCACAGCTGGGCACCAGATCGAAGGCAGAGCGCCGGGCCAGCGCCGCCTCCAACCCCACCCGCAAGGCCTGCTCGGCCAGCAGCAAGATCCGCCGGCTGTCGGCCTGCAAGCAGCAGTGAGGGTGGCCGCCTGCAGGTACGCCATTGCGGGGACCCGTAGGCGGCGGGGCGCAGCCATTTGCTGACTGGGGCCAGTTCTGCCCTTCGCTGTTCTGTCTGCGTTCACTGCCACCAGGATCTGGCTCAGAGGTAGAGGAGGTCACTTGCTCCAGAGCCCCGGCTGGGGGTTGGGCAGCAGCTCCCGTGAGCAGGAGGCGGGCCCCTCACAGCGGCAGCCCGTCCTGCCAGCCCTGGGTGATTGATGCTGGACTCGGCCCAGAGGTGTAGGAGGCACGGGGCGGGGGGGCGCATCTTGGGTTTGGACCAGGCTGTCATCCTGGTGGCTGCTCGGTCTCCACTTTCTCTTCCTGACTCCATCTGCCCCAGTCCACGATGGTGTACGTAGAGGGCAGTCAGGCCCCGGGGGTGCCGAAGGTCCCATCGTCTGCTCAGGGTGTCCTTTTCCGGGGTGCCACCTCCCCAAACGCTCCTGCAGTGCTTATCTGCCAGCATCAGAACCAGCCAGGCAGGTCGGGAACTGCTTCCTTAGGGAGGCCGGCTTCCTCTGGGGAGGGTGGTGGTTAACCCCACCGGGCAGTGAGTGAACTACAGGGTGGCCCCTCACATCAGTGCAACCTTCCCTGGTCTCTCTGGACGCCTGGCAGCTCCATGCGATCAGGCCTCAGTTTCCCACTCTATCAGCGGGCCCCAGGGAGGGCCCTGTCTCCTGGGATACAGAGTGTGTTTGCTGGCCCAGGAGTGACCCATCTGTTCCCGTCTGCAGCCTGTCTCATGGAGCCCCAGCCAGGTGTCACAGCCCAGGTCCTCAGTCTTCCCGCCGACTGCTGGCCCGTGTCTGCTGCCCAGAAAGGCCACCACCACACCCTCCTTGCCGACTGCGGTCATGGCTGGGGGACAGCAGGGACTGGGGTCTGGCCTTCCCCTCGTGGCCAGTGGACACGACCTCTCGTTGACTTTGCAGCCCTGCGCCGAGCCCCCTCCCCGGGTGTCGGGAGGAGGGGGAGAGCCAGCACGCGGGCCCCGTGGGAAGCCCTTGCCATGCACTTTACGTTCAGACTACTGGTCCTCGCCCCGCCCCTGACTTTTTACTCCGCTCCACGTTAGCGCTTCCCACACTAGTGACGTGTTCAGACAAAGCGCGGCCACAGCAGGAGCCGATGTGGAGAGCAGGCCTGTCAGCCAGCACGCCCGGGGCCCGGGCGCCTGCCTTGCTGTTGTTGTTTGGTTGGTTCCTTTTTCTTTTTCTAAGAAAAAAATAAAGCAGGTGGATTTGAGCTCTGATTGTGAAGGGTGTTTGGGAAGGGGGTTGGGTGGCCCTTTTGTGGGCTTCACAGCCCTGGGGGGCAGGCTGGGCTCTGCAGGCCTTGCCGGCTGGCGGGTAGTCAGGTGCTGGGACCCGGGGCCTCCGAGGGGATCGGTCTTTGGCCACCGGACTTCAGTCCTCTCAGTGGTGACCCGTCTCCCCAGCGCTCACCAGGGCCCTCTGCTCAGCCCCAGGGCCCACCGCTCCACAGTGGGGCAGCGAGGGACGGGCCTGATCGCAGGGCCCTGGCCCTCTCCCCAAGGTCTCTGTGCTCCTGGGTCCCCAGAGAACACCCGGACTAAGCAAGAGTGTGCAGTAAATATTTATAATCAACCAGAAAACAAACACAACGAGAAACTCCATCACTGGATGGTACACAGACGGCACGAAGCTCCGAGGGGCGGGGCGGGGCGACTCGGCCGCAGGCGAGGGCTGCCCCATCTTTTGGCAATAAATAAAGCTTGGGAAACTTGAAACCTTGGCCTGTTGGGTTTTGTGTCTCAAAACAGACTCCTTGCTGCTCTTTGGATGGCGCACCTGCGGGGCGGGCGGCGGGCGGCCCACCCACATGCTTTGGGGGGCGTGGGGCTCGGTCGGCGGGAGGCGGTGGAGGCTGGGCCGTGTTATTGCTCGGAGGGGCGCGGGCTGCCGCCAGCACATGCCGCGGTGAGGTAAACAGCGTCGGGGCTTCTGCGGCCGCGGCCTCTGCGCGCAGACGTGGCCGTCGTCGGGCCCCGATCTCTCCGATCTCCGGAGCCGGGGGGGGGGGGGGGGGGGGGGGGGGGGGGGGGGGGGGGGGGGAGGGGGGGCAGCTGCACATGCGCCCTGGGGCGGCCTCTGCGCGAGCGGCGCGCCTCGAGGCCCGGTTGGCCCCGGCAGGGCCGCCCTGCGCATGCGCGGCACGGCTGCCGCCGCATCGCCCGGCGCCTCCGGGAGCGGGTCCCGCGCGCGCGCCGGCCTGGTCCTCGGCGCTCCAGACGCTGCGGCCTGGGGTGGGAGGCAGGGAGCGTCCTCCCCGCGCCGCGCCCCTTCCAGCCGAGCCAGGGCCCCCCGGCCTGGCGCCTCGGGCCCAGCGGGGACCGTGCGCGCGCGCCAGAGGCGGCTCCAGGGAGTCCCGGGGACGCGAGCACGCGCACTCGCGGCCGACGGAAGGGCGTGCGCGCGCCTTCGCCCCGGAGCGTCGCGCCCCGGGCGGGGGCCCCGCGCGGCGCCCGGGAAGCTGACGAGGTGGGTGTCGGCGGCGGGGCCTAGGCCGGGCTGCGGTCGGGAGACGTGGGCGCGGCGGCGGCCAGCGCGGGGGCCGCGGCGACGGGCCGGGCGAGGCGCGGCGGGAAGAGCCTCTCATCCAGGCCCGCCGCCAGCTTGTCCAGCAGCGTCCCGGGGGGCCCGACGCACAGGCCCGAGCCGGGGCAGGCGCCGCCGCCGGGCTCCTCCTCGATGACCGGGATGGCGGGCGCGGCCGGCTCGTCGCCCGCGCGGCCCTCGGGGGGGCAGTCGACGCTGTCGCCTCGGCGCAGAGGGGCGCGCGTCGGGCGCGCGTCGGGCCCGAGCGAGGCCGCGGGCGGGGCCGGGGGCGCGGCCCGCGCGCCGGGGTCGCTGTGCTGCCGGCCGCGCTGCTGCCACTGCTTGCGCGCGTGGGGGTGCGGGTGCGCGCGCGCGCGGTGGCGCGCGGCCGAGGGCAGCGTGTCGTCGAAGTGCGGGTCGTGGCGCAGGAACTCGTGGAAGAGCGCGTCTGTCTTCTCGTCGATGCTGTAGTCGCGGCGCGGGGCGCGGCGGGGCCAGGCGCGCGGGCTGCGGGGCCGCACGGGGGCGTCGGCGGGCGCCGGCGCCCCCTCGAAGCTGCCGCCCACCGTGGCCGTGCGACCGGCGGCGGTGAAGGAAGAGCGCTTCTCGGACGCGCTGAGGAGCCCCTCCTCGCCCGCGCCGCGGCCCTCGATGCTGGCGTAGCCGCTGTCCATCTGCAGCAGCTTCCGCGGGCCTCCCGCCTCGCCGTCCGCGGACCGGGGGGTGGGGGGCGGCGAGGGCGGCGGGAAGGCGGGCACGGTGGTCCCGGAGCCTGAGCCCGAGCTGTCGCCGCTGCGCACCGAGTCTCGGTCGTTGCCGCTGCTGCTGTGGTCCGAAGCGGCAGCCGCATGCAGCTCGAGCGAGGCACGCAGGCTCCAGATGTCCCGGTAGGTGGTCTGGGCCTGCTCCGGCCCCGAGTCCCGCTCACCGTCCGATTCCTGCTGCTGCTGCTGCTGCTGCTGCTGCTGCTGCTGCTGCTCAGGCCCCGCGCCACCGCTGCGCCCGGGGGGAGACTCGGGGCTCGCTCCGCCCGCGGCGCCCGCCTCCTCCGCTGCCTCTAGCCTGCAAGCCAGGCCGCAGCGGTCAGGAAGGCTGTGCGCGCCCCTGCGTGTTCTCCCCAGACACCCTGCCTCTGGGTCCAGAAGGGTGGGCCCGCGAGGGGACCCCCTAGGCTCCACCAGGCTCTGCGGATAACGGATTTTAAGAAAATGCTGGCAGTCCCTGCCGTAGAATGTGATTTCTGGATAAACCCCCAGCCCTTCTGGGACCTGTTCAATCATGGCATTTTTGCCAGTATCTGACCCCAGCACCTGCTGGCACGGCGGCTGGCGCCTCGCCCACAGAGTTAACATTTCTCGGGTGGCGCTCCCTTCTTCCTAACACCTCGGGGGAGAAGGAAGTGGCTGGGGACGGGACCAGGTGGGAGTCCAGCTCGGCCCCTACTCCCAGGGGGGACCGCTCAAGCTGCTTCACCACCCCCCTACCTCCATCCGAGGGGCTAGGGGAGGGAGTACTGCTGGCAGATGGGGCCACAGTTTCTCAGGAGGGACCGTCCAGCCCTCAGGAACACAGGCAGGAAGGAAGGGGCATCAGGCCACAGTGGACCCCTGGGGGCCACAGACTTTACCAGGAAGCGGTAACATCCAAGCAGGCACACACCCCTGGCGGCCCTGGCTGGGCAGGCATCCTGTCTTGGGGACCATGTGGGCATCGTCTGGGGCCCCCCCGACCCTCTACCCTTACCCAGTCTCCCCTTTTCCCTCTTCTGGTCCTTGCTGGAGAGGTCGCCCCAGGGAGGCAGCCTCCAGGAGGGACGGCCGAGCTGGAGGAATGTGATGTGTCTGCAGGGTGGGGAGAGCCCTCCCCAGGCCGCTGAGGGGGGGACTGGGTGGGGCAGGGGCCCACAGCTCCACCCCTAGCACTTCTATCTACTGAAAAATACCTGCCGAGAGCGGGGGATGGGCTGGTGGGGCTGGCCAGAAGGGGGCGGGGGGGCGGGAAGGCCACCGAGTCGCCGGTGCTGGCGATGTACTGGATGAAGTCCCTGCGGGGGGCGTCCCCCTCCTGCTCCGAGCTCTCGCTGGCCGCCCGCTGCCGCTGGAAGTGGTGCCGCTTGGGGGAGCCTGTGCAGAGGACGGCGCGTCAGCCTGCCTGCGCCCCTCCCAGCCCCCGGGCCCTGGGCCGCGCAGAGCTGCCGGGGGGGGGGGGGGGGGGGGGGGGGGGGGGGGGGGGTCGGCGGGGACAGGAGGTGCCGCGGTGGCCACCAAGCAGGGCCTGGGCAGAGGCCCGCACCGGCCGCCGGGAGGCAGGCGCTGTGGGAGGACGAGGGACACGCTGGCGGCTGCTGAGGGGAGAGAGAAAGGGCCGGCTCCACCCCCACCCCAGGGAGGGCCCCGGAGCAGCTCTGGGGGGAAAGCCTGGGGGAGGGGGGACAGGGACCCAGCAAACAGGCTCTGGGCACTTGTGCGCCCACGCCTGACTCCACCCTCAGGGATCGTGGGCTCCGTCTCCTCGCCCTCTCCCCTACCTGGGCACGCCCCGGCCAGAACTCGCTCCTCCTTCCCCTGCAGCGCTAGCTGAGACCAGGCCTCTCTCCTTAGCCCTCCTGGCCTGTGACCCACCACCTCCCCGGGGCCGCCGGTCCTATCCTGGCTCAGCTCCCTCGGGCAGGGGGCTGTTGGTACCCACCGGTCAGGGTGGCCACCTCCCCACCCCCAACACGGCCTCCCGCTGTGGGCTGAGGATAAGCAAGCCCTGTGTCCAGGGCTCCACGTGGCTGGAGGCCTGCAGGGTCAAAGGGCTGCTGGGTTAGTTCGGGGGGGGGGGGTGTATGCTATGGCCCACAGGCCAAATGGGTTCACAACCTATCGTTGTAAATAAAGTTTTATTGGCACATATCTGCACTTGCACACGCAGTCTGTGGCTGCTTCCATACTGCCACACCAGACAAACCACAAATCCAAAAACGCTGCCTCGTACCTCATAGGAAAAGCTCACAGTCTCTGCTGCGGGCTGACCACACCCCTGCTCTCCTAGGGCATGGCACGTGGCCCAGCCAGCGGTAAGCCTGGGCCGACGTGCGCAGTGGCTGATGGGTGTTGCTGGCCAGCCCGGGGCAGCTGCCCAAGACCCCTCAGGGGCAGTGACCCCTCCTTGTGCGGAACCTCCCTCTGTAAGGCTGCCCGGGGCTGTACCCTGGGGGCCCTGGTCTCTATCCAGGGCTGCCGCTCACCTCTGGTGTCCAGACTGGATGCCCGCTGGCTAGGGTCCAGCTTCCATTTCTTGACTTTGAAGTAGGGGCTAGCCCCGTCCAGGCTGGCATGGCGCCTCAGGCGGGTGAAGAACTGCAGAACAGGTCCTGCCCCGGAGCCTGGACCCGCCTCCCCAGGCCCCCCCGTGGCTACAGGCCCCACGGGCTTGGTGCTCCGGGCGCCTGCATCCAACTGGAAGGGAGAGAAGCGGTCAGGGACAGAGGGCTTCTCCTTGCTGCCCCAGCCCGGGCCACCGCCCTGCACTCTGGCGGCAGCCGCAGCACCCCCCCCCCCCACCCGGGGTGCAGAGGAGGAACGCACAGCTGTCTGCGGGTGGGCAGCACCTAGGCTAAGCTCGGCGGTTTGGCCAGGCGCTGGCCAGCTCTGTCGTCCCCGGCCCCGAACAGGGGGGTTCCTGAGGGCAAAGCCCTGGTTTGATGAGCACCCTGCTCCATGCACTGCTTGCCCCTCTCTCTCCCATGCGGGGGGACCCAGCAGGAGCGAGGAGAACTAGGCAGGAGGGAGGCCATAGGCTGACCTCGGTCCTGGAGTGGGGCAGGGAGGGGAGGGGCCGCTCGGGGGCCCTCACCCAGGCGCCTTCCCCAGAGTCGCTGGACGCCAAGGGGCTGATCTCGAAGTCGGCAGGGCCCGCGGCTGAGTTGTAGGGGTCACCTGGCAGGGCGGAGCTGGGGCCCACAGAGCGGCCGGTGAGGGCCTTCCCCGGGGGCTGGGGGAGGAAGCAGCAACAGGTCAAAGAGCACGGGTGTGTGAGGGGGAGCGCTGCGCCCACAGCCCGCTGTGCGCCTCGGTCAGGCGCCCCCTCCCTGTCCTGAGGTGCGGGGCCCAGCCCAGAGGGTGGGGTCCCCCTGCTGAGCCCCAGGATGGCGGCCGCCCACCCGCTCACCTGGAATATGGCCAGGCTGGCCTTCGGGGCGGCGGCAGCGTGTGGAGGGGGGGTGGCGCTGGCTTCGCCCACGTCGCACTCGTGGATGGTGATGATCTTGAGGGGCGGCAGGTGCAGGTGCGTGAGGCGGGCATTCTTCAGGTGGTGAAAGTCCCCCTCCGTCAGGGTGTACCTGTGCCCGGCATGCCGGCCCGTCACCACGCCAGCCGGCCCCCGTGCTCAGCCCTGCCTTGGACAGCCCAAACGCCCAAGCCCACCCCTGCTACCGCCCCTGACGGTTCCGGGGGCGAAGTGAGGCCAGTACCTGTCCTCCCCCCCCCCCCAGGAGCCCAATCACAGGGCGTCAGGCTCCCGCTCCCCGCCCCCCAGGGACAGGGTCCCTTCATGCTGCCCGGCTCCCCGGCTCCTTACCGGCGCCCCTTGTCCTGTGACTTCCGGCTCTGCTCAAACAGGGCTGCCTCGTTGAAGGACACGCGGCGGCCGGTGGAGCTGGTGGACAGGAAGCGCTCTGTCTCGGCGTCCTGGCCCTCGGGGTCCTCCGCCCTGAAGTCAGGGTCTGCGAGGAGAGCCGAGAGGGTGGGCCCGGGGCGGGCCTCGCCCGGTGCTGGGCAGGCGGCCGGCTGGGGTGGGTGAGGGCTGGGTCGAGGGATGGGGCCCGACTGAGCGCTGGGACAGGGCAGGGGCGAGGTGGGCACTCACACATCCGCTCACACACTCACTCGCTCAGCACGCGCCTGTGAGCACCTACGCGCGGGCTCTAAGGAAACAGAGATGAGTCGGAATCGAGCTGCGCCCAGTCTGGTGGGGGAGACAGACAGACACAGCCGGTCAGGCGGCCCGAGGGGGCGGGCAGGTGGGCAGGGGTCAGCGCCTGGCGGGGCGTCGCACCTTGCGCTGGGTGTGCGCCGCTGTCTAGGTAGGTGGTGGTGGTCTTCTCTGCTTCCTCCATGGCTCTGGGGAGAGACCACGGGGCAGCCAGGTGGGACGCAGGACCCAGACAGTACTGCCCCCGGGCAGCGTCTGGAACCCACAGGCACCCAGATGGCCCGTGCTCACCCAGCACTTAGAAGCGCTAAGTCCCCACGCAGGTCCACGGCCGGCCCACGCCCACGCCCGTCCCTCCCGCCGCGCGCTCCCGGAGGCCCCAGGGTGCGCGTCGCACCTGTTGAAGCGCCGGCGGGCCTCCCAGCAGCGGCGGCACAGGAGCAGCACTCCGGACAGCGCCACGAGCGAGCCGCCCACGAAGAGCGACAGGACCACCACCAGCAGCACGTAGTTGTTGAGGATGCGGTCGGGCTCGGCCTGTGGGCCGGCGGGAGTCAGGGCCGCTGGGCACGCCCGCCCGCCGCCGCCCGCCGCCCGCCCCGGCCCCGCACTCACGGTGGGGCCGCCGGTGCTGTTGTCCCACCTCGAGGTCAGGGCAGGCGTGGCGGCCGCACTGGCGGCGGCGGTGGCCATGGTGGGCGTGGGCTGCATCCTGGAGCTGGGAGGAGGGCCGGGGGGGCAGGGCCTGCTCAGACCAGCTCCTCTGTCTCCTCCCCCTGCCGGCTCCCCGGGAGAGGGAGTGGGAGGAAGAGCCCGCAGGGGGCGGTGACTCACGGAGAGGTGCCCCGGGGCCGCCCCCACCCCGCTTAGATCAACGCGGGGACCTCCGTTTCCCCCAGTTCAAACCGGGGGAGGTGTACCCCTCCGCCACCTCCCCAGCCGGTGGGGCCGGCCGGGCGAGCTGGCCAGGAAGCCTGCCCAGAAAAGGGGAAGCGCTCCGGAGGAAGGGGAAACTGAGGACATCAGCTCACTGCCGTGAGACCCCAGGAGCCCTGGCTGCACGCTCGGGGGCGGGGGGGGGGGGCTGCCTCAGCGCAGGACGCCGAGTCCACGGCAGCGGGACCGGGGCGTGGAGGGGCCGGAGGGCGTGAGCTCAGTGACCACCCAGCCCCGACTCCGGAGAGAGCTGTCCCTGCGCCCGGTGCTGGGGGAGCGCAAAGGCCAAAGGAGGCGCGTGTGTTCCCAGCCCTGAAGAATCTGGTTCCCATGGCGACCGAGCCAGCAGGCCGGGGGGGGGGGGGGTTGCCAGGGAGCACTAGGGAGGAGGGGGCGCGGGGGAGGGAGGCCTCCTGCCGGGCGGCCCGAGCCGGTCCTGGGCGGCAAGATGGCTGCTGCAGCGGCCTCTCCGCCCGAGCCCGCTGCGGGCCCGGCGCCTCGGCCACGACCGTCTGGCGCTGGGGGTAAACTGAGGCCGGGAGGGGAGTGCAGCCCTCGGCGAAGGGACTGCTTGGACACGGCACCTGACGGCCTCCCCAACGCCAGCCCCTCCCGGTGGGAAGGACCCGGGACGGCACTCCGGGGTCTCAGGGCGCGGGGTCGGGGCCGAATGCCCAGCAGCCCTCCCGGGCAGCGCGCTCGGCCCTTCCGCCGAGGAAACGGGGAGCCTGCGTCGCGGCTCTGGCGCCCCCGACGCTTTCGGGTTTAACCCCACGCGACAGCGGGATGAAGCGGCCCGGAGAAGGGGGGCGGGCACTGGCCAACGCCAGGTGTCCCCAGCGCCGCGGTCCGAGAGCGGCTCGGGCCCCCCGGCGTCCTCGGGGGGAGGGGGCGCCTAAGTAGGTCGGGAAACGAGTTCCTGCTGCAGGGGGAGGGGGCAGGAGCGAGGGACCGGGACCGGAGACCCGAAAAGATGGCAGGAGGCCGAAGGGGAAGAGAGGTGGACTCGCGGGGGGTAGGCGGGGACGCGAGCGAGGGCGGACGCTCCCCACGGGCCCGCCCCTGAGGTCCGGCCGGGTCTCCCCGAGCCCGCGCCCATCCCCGCGCCCCCGGCCGGCCTGCGGACGCGCACGGCGAGCCCTGGAGGAGAGGCAGGGAGCCCGACTCCGAGCACATCCCCGCGCCGGAGCCGCCATCACCCTCGCTGGATCTCGCAGGGAAACTGAGGCCGGGGAAGGGCGTGGGCGGGGGGGGGGTCCCTTTCCAGGCCGCAACCGGGGATGCAGAGCCCTGCAGGCCGCCCCCGCCCCCACGCCCTCCCTCCGGCCTCGCCGCCTCGCGGGAAGGGCCGGTGGTCCGGAGCCAGGTCGGGCCCGGAGCCGGCGGCGATCCCGGGCCGCGCGGCCCCGGCCTGCCCCCGCCCGCCGCGGCGTCTCCCCGGGCCCGCCGCGCCTACCTCAGCGCCGGGGCGCGCGGCCCGTGGGGGGCGGGCGGGCGGCCGCGCGACGTCTCCGGCGGGCTCCGGTGCCCGGTGGCCGCGGAGCAGGCGGAGAATTTATGAATGGAGAGCGCGGCGCGCGGGGGAGGCAGGCGCAAGAGGACGGGCCGCGCACGTGACCGCGTTGGCGGCGAGCCCGCTCCGACCCGCCGGGTGCCACCCGGCCCCGGGCCGGCCGCCCCCAGCGCGCTCGCCGCCGCGTCTAGCTCGCGGCGCGCCGGCCACCGCCTCCCCTTCCCTTCCGGCGGGAGTGGGGGGCGGAGCCTGCGCTCCCGGACGCCCCCTCCCCACTGCGAGCCGTCCTCTCCCCCCGCGACCGAGTCTCCACCCCCTCCCCTGCGGCGCTCCGCCCGACCCTCGCCGGCGCCCGGAGGGACCGGGGGCCGGGAACGTAGGGGAGGGGACGGGTGCATCGGTGCCCCTCCTTGGCCTCCCGCAACCTGGGGGGCGTGAGGATGGAGTCCAGGCGGCGTCGGACACACGCCCGATGTGCTGCGGGCATGGTCAGCGTCACCGGGCGCTTTGCCTTGCTGGGACGAGCGGTGGGGCCAAAGTAGTACAATCTGCTCTTGCCGGAGCGCCCGCCTAGCCCGGGGGCACCGGAACGACTCTGGCAGAACCTCCATGCCTGGTGAATCCCACAGCTGCTCCCCCTTCTCAGAGGGTCGTGCCTCGTCCTTCCAGATGCTTAGGACACCAGCCTGCACTGGCCTGGCCTGGGTCCTCGGCCAGCCCACCTGCCCTACGCTCACCACCCCGCGATGGCACCCTTTCTCCAGTGAAAACTGAAACTGCCAGTTCAACCTCAGTGCCTTTGCACTTGCAGGTGCTGGGCCTGTCTGGCTCTTTCCCCACCCAGCTTCAGGGTTCACTCCCAGGCCTCCTTCCACTGCCTCCCAAATGGCCAAGTCCCAATGTGTCTCCTCATGACTACCTCTGGTAACACAGCAACTCACACCCCACGTTTCAGTCCCCTGCTTCTTTCCATGGCCCTCATGTCGTCTGTTATTTATGCCAGTGTATTGTTGCTCCTCACCCCTTCCCCCACTACAGGGGTGAGTTCCAAGTCAGGAGCTGGGTCCCCAGGCATGGCACGGGGCTGGCACACTGGAGACAAGAATGTGCTCGGTAAGTGGATAAAGATTCAGCAGAGCTGGCTTCAGTGAGTGGGAGCTGGATGTGCAAAGGACCTGAGGTAAGAAGCTGTGTGTGTAGATCAACGTGTTCTGGTGGAAGGAACAAGGACAGCCGTCTTGTGGTTCCCAGCGGGAGAATGACACGGTACCTCTGGCTGTGGGTGAAGGCTCTTGCAGCCAGGACAGGGGAGGAGGCCGGGGCCATCCACACCGGTGATGGTGGCCACAGTGGCCCAACTGAGTGGGCAGGCCTTGCCGATGGGCCCACGGGAGATCTCCAGGGTAACCCTGGGTTTGGGACTTGAGTAACAGCTGGGGCCTTTACCCACAGTCCACCCTGGAGTCAAAACTGGACAAAAATTGTGCAACAGATGGGTTCGAGGAGCCAAACGATCAGGCAGTTAGGTTTGCCCCCAGGTGGGGCCCTGAGCTCTGGGAAAGGCTGGGGCTGAGCACAGGACGCACCCCGAGGAACGAGAGTAGGGCTTCCCTCAGCACACCCCCCTCCCCCAGGGCCAGGATGTCCCCTCACAGCTGGCTCGGAGGCGGCGGGGGGCTTGGCCACTAGGCCTGGGCCCTCCCTCCTTTGTCGGCCACAGGCGGCCAAGACGCTGAAAGGCAGGGATGCTGCACAGGCAGCCCCTGGGGTTGGGGAACAACACTTTGTCGCAACGCACCTGCCCAGGTGCGACACCACCCCCTCTGCAGCCTGCACCCCTGCGCCCCGCATCCAAGGGCCCCAGCCCCGTCCAACCCACACTCCGTGTTTTCCCTCAGACCAAGATGTGGGTCCGGGGGCCTGGCCTGGGGCGCCACCTGCGTGTGCGCGGGGGCGGAGTGGTGACGTCAGCGCCGTGAGCGAGGCTGCGCGAGTCGCGGTAACGTCAGCGGAGCCCCGGGCCGCCCGCGCACGCGTCCGTGCGTCACCGGCGCGCGGGGGCGGCGGCCGGGCGGAGCTGGGGCGAGCGCACCCCCGGTCGCGGCGCGCCCTCTGCTGGCGTCCTCGGGGGTTGTATTCGCGCCCGGCCCGCGGGGCTGGCGCTTACCTGCGCTGGACCCCCTGCCTGGGAGGCGGGTCCCTCCACGTCTGCATCTCTGACAGTCGCAGTCGGCCCCCCATCCCGGCTCCCCCAACTCGGCTTGTCTTATTCCTTTTTTAGGGGTCTATTTTTAAGTAATCCCTGCACCCAACATGGGGTACAAACTCACAACCCTGAGATCAAGCGTTGCAAGCTATTCAGACCCAACCAGCCAGGCACCCCTGTTTTTCTTTTTCAGCTGTTTACTTGTAACATGCTGTATGATTTGCGTATTCGTTACACTGAGTGTTAAACGTCCCCATCACCCCAAACCAGAGCTGGAATCTTGGTATTTCCCTTGGTGGCTCTCAAGGGCCATCAACGAGCGCCCCCTAAATCTTAAATACAAGTGACACCCGTTCTGTGAAGGCTTCCGGTCCTCCCCATTGACACCCTCCCCCCACCCCCCTCAACATCTTGCGACTGGCCGGCTACTAAGACGGGAAAGTAACTACAACCCCCAGCATGCCGTGCGCGGAGCGCAGTGCGTCTTTGTTAAAGTCGCCCGCGGCATGCTGGGGGTCGTAGTTCGCGCGTGCGCCTTCGCCCGGACTCCTCTTCCCAGACGTCTCCGCGCGTCGTCCTCCTCGTCCTCCCGGCTGCGCGCTGCTGGCCGGAGTCCGCTCGCAGCCGTCGCCATGCTGCCCGTCGCGTTCCTGCGCCGTCCCGGCCTGCGCTGCCTCGTCCGCCAGGCCCGCGCCTACGCCGAGGCCGCCGCTGCGCCGGCCCCGGCCGCGGGCCCCGGCCAGATGTCCTTCACCTTCGCCTCACCCACGCAGGTTCGGACGCCGGTCAGGTCGGGGCCCCTCCTTGGTCGCCACCTCCAGGCGCGACCCGCTGTGGTCCGCAGTCGGAGACTCCCAACCGTCCGGTTGTGGACGCTCATCTGTTCCGCTCCTGCGCCCCTCCCCCGTGTTGTCAGTCCGAACCCACCCGTCCCCAGGTCGCTGCTTCCTGTTCCGGGCCTGTGTCCCCATTCCACTCCCCCGGACCCGCGTCGGCACCCCCAAAGTGGTCGGCACTCCGGGCTCCCCAGCCTTCGGGCCTCGGAGACCCCTAACTCCCCTCCAGGACCCCGGGCCCACGCCGATTCCACCTGGGCCCCTCCGAGACACACCCCCCCCGACCCCAGGGCCATCGCCCCGCGTTCTATCTGACCCGCGCCCTACGCCCTTCCAGGTGGTGAGGAATCCGGTCCTATAAAGCTTAACGAGTTCCGAGCCTTCTACCTGGAATCCAAAGCCCGCGGGCTGGACCTCCGCGTTCGCGTGTCCCGCAGGCCCGAGCCTCGCACGCTTGTTGTCTTGTGGCCTCCTGGCTTGATGCACAACTCGGGCTCTTGCAGCGTTTCTGTGGGGACGGACTCCGGGGGCTGGACTTTATTTTCTGTGAGACGCAGGCCCTGAGATGTTCCTGGAGGACCGAGACAAGTGCAGGTGTCATCGGGGCGCTTCCGTGTCCCTTGTCAGTGTTCAGTCCTGCCCTGGGCCGTTTCACCGCAGGGGAGACCAGGCCCCGGCGGCAGGTCGGGCTTGCGCTACTTCCTGTGTGTTCTTTGCAGGTGTTTTTCAACGGCGCCAACGTGCGGCAAGTGGACGTTCCCACGCAGACAGGCGCCTTTGGCATCCTGGCGGCCCACGTGCCCACGCTGCAGGTCCTGCGCCCGGGGCTGGTGGTTGTCCACGCCGAGGATGGCACCACCTCCAAGTACTTTGGTGAGTCCGGCGGCCGGGGCTGGGCGGGGCCACGCGTGCAGCGAGCCCAGGCCGTCTCCATCTCTGTTCACAGTGTTGGTGAAAGCGGAGCACAGGCCTGTGCTTCCAGGAGCTCGTGGTGGGTCAGGGTCAGGGTCAGGGTCCGGGCCAGGCTTCGGAGAAGGAAGTCCAGTTATGTCTCGGAAGAACTGATCGGGGGGGGGGGCACACTGGATCCTGAGGAGGGCGTCCAGCAGCACAGTTCCAGGGTACAACCAGGACCAGACCCAGCGCCCCGTTCATCCCTGACCCCAGCTCAGCTGATGGGCTGGTGGGTGCAGGAAGGGGACGCTGTTCCCTGGGGGCAGCTGCCAGTGGGTGGGCTTGGGCCCCGTGGGCATCTGCCTGCCTCCAGGCCACTCTGTGGGGCCACTTCTTTGGCTCTGGGGCTGATGGTGTCCCCTGCACCTGGACTCGGAGCTCTTACATCTTCCTTTTCCCGCAGTGAGTAGTGGCTCCGTCACGGTGAATGCTGATTCTTCAGTGCAGTTGTTGGCCGAAGAGGCCGTGACCTTGGACATGCTGGACGTGGGGGTGAGTGTTCCAGGGGAAGCAGGGGCTCAGGAGGCCAGAGCTGAGCCTGAGCACCAGGTAGGGCCCTTGCTTGACTCTCACCTGCTACCCACTTCCTGCAGGCAGCCAAGATGAACTTGGAGAAGGCGCAGGCGGAGCTGTCAGGGGCAGCAGACGAGGCCTCCAGGGCCGAGATCCAAATCCGCATCGAGGCCAACGAGGCCCTGGTGAAAGCTCTCGAGTAGGCGGTGCGTGGCCCTTGCCAGCAGGGAAACCGAGGCCCAGGACTGGACCGGGGCTGTCCCGGGCAGGCCAAACCAGCTCCCGCGGGTCCAGTCTGATTGGGGTGGGATGGTGGGAAGAGAAGGGCCGCAAGCCACCTGGGGGGATTCTTGCCTGGAGGGCCTGGTCTTGCCAAGAGGCCACCAGGGGGCAGCACATCGCTGGTCAGATCTCCTAGCAAGGGGGTTTGGCGAGCTGAGACCTTGCCCTGCTTCTCACCTTCCAACCACTGGAGCCCCCCCAACCTGATGTGCCACCCACTTCTTCTCTGACCCGGTAGACGCTGCCACAGAGACTTCATTCGGCTCCTAGTCCTCTCCGTGGGATGGCCTGCCCCCAGCTTGAGCCCCCCCATTAAAAACCAGGGACCGGACTCGTGTGTGCTGGATCTGTCTCCTCCCTGGGCCTGTGTCTTCGAGACCTTGACTGGCCTTGCCCGCAGCTGTTTGTGGGATGAGGTTTTCAGCACCAGCCTCAGCCTCCGCGGTGTGGAAGCTGTGGCCCAGATCGCTAAGGGTCGGGAGTAAACTGAGCAGTGGGAACTCCCTGAGACCCGGGTGAGTGGCGGGCAGGGTGTCTGCCGTCATCCCGAGAGGGTGTGTGTGGGCAAACGTAGCCCGCTGGGCCTGGGCTGCTGGACGCCCTGCCAGGTTTCAGGCTGTGCCGGCTGCCCCGTGGGCTCTGGACCCGCCCCGGCCACGCTGGGAAGAGGCGTGCCCCGCCTGCTCCCACAGAGGCCCGGCCCTCGGCTCACCCGGCCTGTGGGTGGCCCAGGCCTCCTCCCTGGAGGTGTTGGCACCTCTGTGGCATCCAGGCCCCTGGGCTGGCCCCAGATGGGGCGGGGCGGCCGGGCGGGGGCAGCTGCTCCATTTCTTCCCTTTTGCAGCTGTGGGGGCGGCTCAGACGCTGGCTGCAGGTGTAGCAGGCGGCTTTGGGACGGGGGTCTCCTGTTCTCCTTCCTCAGCCCCGAGGCGGGCACAGGGTGGCAGAGGATTCCAGGGGTGTGAGTTGCAGGAGCGTGCGGGCCTCCCCATGTGTCACTGGCAGCCCGGAGATGACAGGGAAGCCACCCCCAGGCGTGTTGTCAGCACAGACGGACTGCGTGCTCGTGTGTCACGGTCCCGTGCGAGTGACTGTCCCGTGGCTGCATTGGAGGCTCCGTGTGGCGGACCCTGCGTGTGGGGGCCTCCAGACGAGCTTGCAGCTATAGGGGCCCCTGCCTGGGTCCCCCTCCTCAGGCTGGTAGGCCCAAGCAGCTGCCCGCCACTCCAGGGACCCCCAGCCCAGAGAACACACTGACAGCCACGGGGTCACAGGTGCAGGCCCAACTTCCCCCAGCCCCCCATTCTAGAGTCGAGTCGAGGCCCCAAAGTTCCTGGCCAAGCCCTGGGAGCTACACGTAAGGCTGAGGACATAGTGAGGGCTCTGAGAGGTGGTGAGAGGGTGCGGATCAGCACCACCCACACCGGGGCGGGGGGGCTCCCTAGCCAGACCTCTGTGCCCTAAGAGATCTCAGACTGCAGGGTGGGGTGCGGTGGGGAGGGGGTGGGCAGCTCTGGATGTAGGTGAGGCCCCTCACTCAGCAAGGCTCAGGCCTCTGGGGAAGGTGTGGGCCTTGGAGCCTTTGGGATGCTTATTTATGCCTGATGTGGGCCTGCCGCAACAGCCTGTGTCGCCCAGGGCCTTCTGTGGGGGAGCAGAGCCAGGGGTCAGCGTCCTGTAAGGGTCTGTTCCTCTGACGGGAAGGGCGTCCCCTCGGACTTGGTGTTTGCTCACACCCAGGAGTCCTCTGTCTGGGCAGGAGGATGCTCTGAACAGGACAGGAAGTAGGAAGCGGATGGGCTTAGTGTGCTTATTAGGTGAGACCTGTAGCGTCAGGCTGAGGCCTTGGTCCCTTCCTGAGAGAGCACCCCAGCCCCACAGCGCGTGGCCCTCCGGGCCCCAATTCCAGGAGGACCACCCACTTCTCCAGCAACCTGATGGACTAGGTCTCTGTCCGCCAAGATCACAGCCGTGTCCTCCTGAGCCGCAGAGCCCTGACCCACCTCCTGCTCTGCCCGGAGCTCCTCCAGCATCCAGATGCCCCAGCTTCAAGCCCGCTACTCCCGGGGCCACCCCTGCCTGGTGGGGTGCCCCACAACCGCATCTCCCATCTCCAGCACAGCCTCAAGTCCGAGTCCCCCCCACTGGAGCACATACCTCAACCCCACCCCTCAGCGACCCCCTTCCAAGAGCTGGCTGAGCCTCTCCCTGCAGCCCAGCCCTGACCGTAAGGGGCGGGCAGCGTCCTGTGTGGGTGTGACAGGGTGGGGGGCCACGGGCTGCAGGAGCTTTGGGTGGGAGCAGGATGGGGGCCTGGAAAGGGACACAGGGTGGGGTGGCGGTGGTCAGGCCAGATAAAGTGAGAACGCAGATAAATGGCCAAGGGGTAGGGCAGGAGGTCCTGAGGTCCCCCTCCTCCGGGCAGAGAGAGCAGGGCTGAGAAGGCCCCACACCAGTCCGGGCCGTCTCCAAGCGCTCCGGGCCCAGAGCGGCCTGCTGGCGGAAACGGGACGCCCACATTCTCGCCTGCTACCGTACGATGTCAGGTAACTGGTCTGTGAACTGGGTAGGGCGGTCCTGCTCGGCCCCAACACCCTCGGGACTCCAGAGAGACTGCGCTGGATTCTGTCCCTCTACAGCCGAGCCACAGAAGCAGGCTCAGAAAGGTCACCGCACGGCGGGTGGTGACTGGCCGCGGTAGGCAGGCCTGGCACAGGTTAATCGCTCCATAAATGCCGTCTGAGGTCACCGTTAAGAGATGCAGGAGGCCAGGCAGTTGGGCAGCTGGCTGGGGCACCCCCACAACAGGCAGGTGACTCCAGCCTGTTTTCCTGGATCGTGGCCACTGACTCAGGCCCCCCTCCGCTGACGTTCCCCTACTCGGGCGCCCCCAGGCGGAAGCACCCGGCCTGGGGCGGCAGGAAAGGGGGCGGGGCGGCAGCCAGTTCATGCACCCCGAAACCTCGTCCTGGGGACACCAAGTCGGCTCAGCCGACTCTGACCCCGGGTTGAGCAGCATTCATGGAGAGCCCCCCCCCCCCGCCCACATACGCAGCGAGGCTTAAGGGGTGGGTAGCCCAGGCCCCAAGGCGCCCTAGGGCCGTGGCCTGCAGGCAGGGGCGGGGGCCCGTCTGCGTCACCGGCCGCCCGGCCCTCCGCCCCCTGCCCGCCCAAACTCCACCCCGGGGAAGGCGGTGCGGATAAAGGCTTGGGGGCCGCCCGCTCGGCCCCAGATCTGCCCCGCCACCGCGCACTGGTCCCGGACGTGGGTACGCTCAGGACGGTTGCGACCTCGGACTGGAGGCTCCTGGTGAGTGCGGGGTGGGACCTCGCGGGACGAGCAGGAGGGTCCCCACTCCAGGCCCTTAAAGGTGCCCCACTTTTCTTTGTTTTGTGGGCAGGCAGGCTTCGGGGTGTCTCTAGCCCTGGCAAGGCCCTCGGGTCGTGGGATGGGAGGGGCTCGGCGCAAGCAGCACCGCCCAGGCAGGACCTCAGCCCCCGCCCCGCCTCCCGGGCACTCTTCCCACCCCGCGAGTGACCTTGAGCAAGTTGCTGTTCGGCCTTACTCTCTCCAGTTGTGCGGCCTCAGCCTCCTGCCTTAGAGGCTTCAGACCCCTAGCGGAGGTCCCCGCTCGCGGGCAGGGCCGTCGACCTTTTCACGGCCGCGGGGCAGCTTCGGCGCCCCCTCCCAGGACTCCCGGCAGCGCCCCCCGGGCGGGGCCGGCAGGGGGCGCGCCGGCGCTGCTGACTCACCGCAGCCCCAAGCGGCGCGCGCGGGCGCAGCCGGGGACGCCGCGTCACGTCACAGCTCGGGCGGGCGCGACTCGGGAAGCGGGCCCGGCCCGCGGGACAGGGGTGGGACGCGAGGTGGTATCGGAGCGGGAGGGGCCCTCCCGGCACTGGCCCGCGTCAGCGGGGTGCAGGTCCCGCCCGTAGCCCTACTCCTCGCCGGGACCTCACGCCCCACGGGTGGGGGACGCCAGCCGTCCGAACCTCTCAAGAGCCGCCCGGCCACGAAGCGTGGCGATCGCCTCCCGCTTCCGCTCGAGGCTGCTTCCCGGACAGACGCGGTGGGGGGGGTCCCCCGTTTTCCTGCCCCTCCCGGCGCTGGGACGGTGCCCGCCCCCACGCCGCGCAGCTCCGGGCCGGGACCCTGCGGTCCGCCCTCCTCCCCCGTCTCCCTTCGGCCGCCTGCCCTTTGTTGCGGGCCGTATGAATGGCCCCCGGCGCGGGCGGGTGGGGCGCGGGGGCGGGCCGGAGCGGCGCCAGCCCCGCCCCCGCCGCGATCCCCTTGGCCGCCGGGCCGGGGGCGGAGCGAGGGGAGGGCCCGCGCGGCCACGTGGGGCAGCGCCGCGGCGGTTCCGATTGGCCCGCCCGTGCGGCCGACTGGGCGTTCGACGCGCGACGATTGGCCGGCGCGGGGCCGGCGGAGTAAGTAGTGAATGGGAGGGGGCGGCAGCCCCGCCCCTTGGAACGTTGATACATTATAACTTTTTTTTCTTGTTACTTTCACCCCCAGATCTTCCAAGCGGCGGCGGCGGCGGCGGCGGCTGTTGCTAAGGGAGGGGACGCGCGGGGAAGCGCGGCCCGAGCGGCGGACGGCACAGAGCGCGGAAGCCCGAGCGGCGCCCCCCACCCCCGGACCCTTCCCCGCGCCCACCGTCCTTGGAAGGAGCCGCGAGTGCAGTCCCCACCCCCGGAAGGCGCCCCGACGAGTCAACGCGACTCCGGAGCGCCACTCGGATTTTTGATTCCTGATTTCACCTTCCGCTCCTGGCACTTTCTTGAAGAGGACGCGCGCTGCCCTTAGGAATCCCGAGGACCCCGGTTCGGGGAGCCCCCCCCCCCAGCAGTGCCCGGAGGCGCGGCGAGGATTGGCGGCGCCCCGCGGACCCCATCCCTCCAGCGCGGGCCGGGGATGGAGCCGCAGCCCGGCGGCGCCCGGAGCTGCCGGCGCGGGGCCCCCGGCGGCGCCTGCGAGCTGGGCCCGGCGACCGAGGCGGCTCCCATGAGTCTGGCCATCCACAGCACGACGGGCACCCGCTACGAGCTGTCGGTGCCCCCGGACGAAACGGTGGAGGGGCTGCGCAAGCGGCTGTCCCAGCGGCTCAAAGTGCCCAAGGAGCGCCTGGCACTGCTCCACAAAGACACGTAGGTACCGCGCGCCGCCCCCGGATCCGCCGCCCCCTCGGGCCCCGGCCCCCGGGCGGGAACAAAGAGCGCGCCGCACGGGGAAGGAAGGGGGCGGCCAGACGGGGGGCGGGGGCGCGCCGCGCGCTCTCGGGCGCCCTCTGCTCGGCCTTGCCTGCCTCGGCCCCCTCCCCCGCCTGGGGTCGCTGCACAAAGGCGGCTGCGAGGGCGGTCCCCCTCCCCTCACGGGAAGGCAGCAGTCCCGGGTCAGCGTGGGGGTCCCGGCTGCGGGGGTGGGGGGCGCGGCCACCTCCCTCTCTGCCTGCGTTCCCGCTGGCTTCCGCATCTGCTCGGTGTCCCCCTCTATGTCTGGCTGTTTTCTTCCCCCACTTGCGTCTCTCTACCCCCCTTTGTTCTAACCACCGAGCATTCCCGCAGCGTCCCCCTCCCCCCTGGTATTTAAATCGCCTCCAGACCGGGGAGCACTCCCCCCGCGGGCCTCCAGGGACACGCACTGTCCATCCCCAGCGGAGGGGCCCCAGTGGGGGAGGGGCGGGTGGGGGAGGGTCTCCTTTGTCTGAGCGGCGGCGGCCTGCGCCAGGGAGAAGGAGGGAGAGAGGAGGGGGAGCCCGGCCCCGCAAAAGACCCTAAAGGCTAAGCCCTGTGGCGCCCACAAAGAGGAGCCCCGGGTCGGGGTTGCTGAATTACTGGCTGGGCCGGCCTTGGGGTGAGGGGAGGGTGGCAGAGGGCGGCAAGGGCACACTGGCGCCCGGATGATGAAAAACTGTTTTGTTGAGGTGCAGAGGGGGTGCTCCAGTACAGAGTTGGGGCTTTGGGGAAGGAGGTTTGAGCCACTTGCCTGGGGTCTCTCAGGGCCAGATGTTTGACAGTCCCCGTACCCCACCCCAACCTCAGGACCCGGGTCTGGAAGGCCAGGAAGGAACAGGGGTGGGAAGGGCTCCCCTCTGTCCCCCAGGAGCACAGCCCCCTCCCCCCCCTTCCCGGCCTCTGTTTCCGCGTCCCTGCCTTGTCTCCTTGGCCTCACCCTCTTCCTTCCTCCCCCAGCCGGCTCAGTTCGGGGAAGCTGCAGGAGTTCGGCGTGGGGGATGGCAGCAAGCTGACGCTGGTGCCCACCGTGGAGGCGGGCCTCATGGTAAATGGCTGGGGCACAGTGCCCCAGAGGCTCTGGCACAGGCGGGCAGCCCCCTCCCCTGAGAGCTCGGTTCCCAGCACACGCCCTGCCAGGGTAGACCCTGCCGGCAAGCGGCTCCCCTGCCCCAGTGCCCGGGCCCTCTGACCAGAGCGCACGCTCAAAGCAGCTTCTGTGTTTGCAGTCGCAGGCCTCGAGACCAGAGCAGTCTGTGATGCAGGCCCTGGAGAGCTTGACAGAGACCCAGGTAAGACCCTCACTGATCCGTCCCAGCCCTGGGTGAGGGCCTGGGCGTGTTTGTGCTTCCTGGAGACCCACAGGGAGGGAGGGGGCGCGCCACCCAGCCTTCCTGCCAGTGTGGCCTGGTCACCCAGCTTCCTCTTCCTCCCCCCCCACCCCCAGCACTCACCACCTGACCTTGAGGGCCTTCTCTCCCACGGTGGCTGCCATGGGGGAGGGGGCTGGGCTTTCACAAGCCTGCCTGCGGGGGTGACCTTGGCCCCCGTTCCCACACCAGGGCCTGGGTCCCCAGGCCCACGCCACTGAGGAGCACCCCCTCAGCAGCCACTGCAGTTTCCCTGGGGCGACCTTTTAAAATTTTCTGCGGGGGGAGCGGGTTTGCCTGGCGGGGCCAGCCTGGGTGATACTCCTTCCGCCTTCTGTGACCCCATTGTAAGGGGTGGGGAGTCACCTTCCCCCTCCTCCCTCTGGCCTTTGTTCTCTGCCCCAAAAGGGGGAGGGGGGCACCCAGCCCCAGGGCCGCAGCCTAGACAGGATGTTAGGAAAATATTTAGTAACTGGCCAGGAGATGGAGAGGGAGGCAGGGACTGGCCCACACCCGGGTTCCCGGTTTTGTTGCGGCCTTTTTTTTTTTTTTTTGCCTCCTCCTTTCCTCATTTTTCCGGCGGCGGGTCCCTCCTCCCAGGAGGGTGACACAGGCCTCAGCCATCCGCCTGCTGCCCGCCCCAGCTAGGGGGTGGGCTGGGCTGGCCGCAGGAAACCTGCTCAGCCGCTTCCCTTCCTCCTGCCCCAAGGCCCTCGCCCCCTCCCCGACATGTAGCATCCTGTCGTCAGCAGCTAGCTAGCAAGGAGGAAGAGAGGGGCATGAGCGCTGGGTGGTCTGCCCTCCGGAGGGGGGTGGGGTGGGGCTGGGCCAGGGCTGGGGTCCTGGGAGCCAGGTGGGAGCTGAGCTCCATTTCCTGGCGAAGACACGAACTGAGCTCTCTGCTCACAGGGGGCCTGCGGTTGGGGGGAGGGGAGGTCAGGGGTGTCTTTGGTTCACATCCGCCCCAGGGTGCCTGCGTCAGGAGGCGGGGGGGGGGGGGGGGGGGGGGGGGGGCACTGGGCGGAGTGACTGAGCTCCCAGGGCTGTTTCCCCGCCTGGCACGGAGTCATGCCCTCCTGTTAGCCCTCCCCAGGGAGGAAGTTGCAGGGCGGAGGGGTGGGGGGGACTCCCCAGCTGCTTTGGGAAGCCACCACAGGCCCTTCCTGCAAGAGGAGTCTCTGGGGCTGGGGGGGGCATGCAGACCAGGCTTCAGGGTGGGGGCCGCACACAGCCGGCCTCCCTCGCCACCTCCCCACGGCCCCCAAGCAGAGAAGGTTACGCCAGCCGCTGCCAGCAGAGAGCTGGGAGGCGGTGGTTCTGAGTCATCCTGGCCTATGTCACTTCTCAGAAACCTCCACCCCCCCCATCCTGGCCCCTGGGGAAAGCTCAGCGCTGGCCAGGCTCCAGAGGTGGAGCCCAGTGCAGCCGGGGCTCAGATGCACCCCCCCCCGCCAGATTTTGAGGGTTTGTGTTGGGGCTGTGTTGAGGTCTCAGGGGACCCAGGCCTCAGAACCATCAGGGCCCCTTCCTGCAGCAGCCAAGCCTCCCCTTCAGCTTCAGCCCCACCCAGGACAGATAAATATTTATCTTGAGAAAGCAAAGGTTAGGAAGAAGAATTTGTCCAGGAATTCCCGCCCACTTGCTGCCTGGGTGGCTTAACTGGGAGGGGGTCTGAGATTGGCCCCCCTCCCACATTCACAGGCAGAGGATCGGGGGCTGGGAGGGTGGGGTTATGTGAGGACAGTGACTGCTGACTGGGCCTTGCCCCCTCTGGCCTCAGTTTCCCCTTGAAAGAACCAAGCTGGCCAGGGAGGGCCAGGCCCCCGCATCTGACCCGCCTCTGTCCCCCACAGCCCCCAGTGGCGCCCGGGCCAGGCCGGGCTGGCGGAGGCGTCTTCCGGAAATACCGATTCATTTTATTTAAGCATCCGTGGCACCGACAGGGACCCCAGAGCCCAGAGAGGGGCGGCGAGAGGCCCCAGGTCACGCAGCGCGGGGGTGGGCCGGGGCCGGGGCCGGGCTGGGGGCACAGCAGGCTGGGGCCCCAGCGCTGACAGGTCGCTCTCTGCAGGTCAGTGACTTCTTGTCCGGCCGCTCGCCACTGACCCTGGCGCTGCGAGTGGGTGACCACATGATGTTCGTCCAGCTGCAGCTTGCCGCACAGCATGCCCCGCTGCAGCACCGCCACGTGCTGGCCGCCGCCGCCGCCGCCGCCGCCGCCGCCCGGGGGGACCCCAGCACGACCGCCCCCGTGTCCTCTCCCTGCCGGCCCGTGTCCAGCACTGCCCGGGTCCCCCCGATGCCCAGCAGCCCTGCCCCTGCGTCCCCCTCGCCTGTCACAGCCGGCTCTTTCCGATCCCACTCAGCTTCTGCCACCTGCCCCGAGGTGAGTAGTCCTGCCCTGAAGCCTCGTCCTCCGGCCGGTCTTGGACATCGGGAGGGCAGGGGCTAAATCCCAGGGGCGTCTTCTGTACGAAAGGCCATCCCCGGACCCCGGGCTGGTGGGTGAGCCTGACTCTGGCCCCCAGGGGCCGTCGTCGCACCCTGCAGCCTAACATTGCCTGCTTCCCCCCTCTAGCAGATGGACTGCTCGCCCCCAGCCAGGGCTGGCAGCCCGGCCTCCACCCCCGGGGGGAGCCCCGCCTCCCGCTCCCGCAAACCCGGCGCTGTCATTGAGAGCTTCGTGAACCACGCCCCGGGGGTCTTCTCAGGGACCTTCTCTGGTAGGTGTCCCAGTGCCCCATGTGTCCCCACCCCAAGAGGCCGCGGGTCTGCGTATGTGGGCGCAGGTCCCCCCCCAACCCCCCATGCCTGGCTCCCACCCTGGGGTCCCATTGTGTACAAATGAGGGGCCCCCTGCCTCCTGCAGGCACGCTGCACCCCAACTGCCAAGACAGCAGCGGGCGGCCGCGGCGGGACATCGGCACCATCCTGCAGATCCTCAACGACCTTCTGAGTGCCACGCGGCACTACCAGGGCATGCCCCCATCGCTGACCCAGCTGCGCTGCCACGCGCAATGCACGCCCGCCTCGCCCGCCCCGGACCTCGCCCCCAAAACTACCTCCTGTGAGAAGCTGGCGGCTACAGCCCCGGCCTCCCTGAGCCAGGCCCGCATGTGCAAGCCCCTGGGTAAGTGTCCTGCACGCCCACCCGTCCTTGGGCTGTTCAAGGCCCCCCTGTGGGCTGCTCAGAGCAGCTGACCCGCCAGGGAGCTGGGGGGGGGGGCGCCAGCTGCTGCTCACCCTGCTCTGCACGAGGCTGGAGAGAAGGGAGCATGTGTGCTGGGGGCACAAAGTGTCCTTGTCTTCTCCTGGGGGGGTACTTCCTCCCTGCTCCCCCCGCACCTCGGCCAGATGGCAGGTGGAGCCTCTGAATGGCCAAGTCTGATGGAGAGAGGGGGCCGAGGCTCCTCCGGGGGTCGCCTGTGTCCCCCAGAGACCCACTTATCCCCAGCAAATTCTGAGACCCGTGGAACAGCCACACAGCTCTCTGCCTAGCGGGCCCCCAGCGCCCCGGTCACAAAGTGGAAACCAAGGCACCAGCCTCAGGGCTGGGGCTCCACTAACTTGTGCGCTAGCGCCACGCCGTGTCTGCCTTGGCCCTGGCCTAGCCAGCACCAAGCTTGCGGGTCACTGAGGCAGCAGACGCCTCGAGTCTGGAGTCCACTCGGGGTGCCCCGGGGTGCGCCAGAGTCACAGAGACACCCCTGACTTGTCTTCTCCGGTGCCTTGTCAGAGAAGTCTGGGCTGCTCTCCAGTGAGGGGGTGGGGGTGTCTGGGTTCTCCCGGGGCCGCTGGGAGTCACAGTCCCTGCCTCCTTTCAGGGGACCGGCTGCGGCAGACGGAGAACCGGGCCACCCGCTGCAAGGTGGAGCGCCTGCAGCTGCTGCTCCAGCAGAAACGGCTGCGCAGGAAGGCCCGGCGCGACGCCCGCGGCCCCTACCACTGGCCGCCCAGCCGCAAGGCCGGCCGCAGCGACACGAGCGCGGGTGGTGGCGGCGGCAGCCCCAGCGAGGCCTCCGGCTTGGGCCTCGACTTCGAGGACTCCGTTTGGAAGCCGGAAGTCAACCCTGACATTAAGTCAGAGTTCGTGGTGGCCTAGGAACGCGTCCCTCGCCCGACCACCCTGGGCCGAGTCCCAGCCCCAGCGAGGCCTGCGCGGGAGGCGCCTCCCTCCCCGTCCAGCTTCCTTCTGATTCTTTGTTTTTTGGTTTTTTTTTCTTTTTTTTTTTTTAATTTCCATTCTTAACCATGGTTTTCCGAACTCTCCACGGACTTGGTTCCTGCCGCCTCCTGCCGCCGCGGTCCAGCTCGCACTTCCCCGCCTCTTCCTGCCGTGGCGGCTCCAGCCTCCCGAGCTGGGTCCTTCCCGCCCACTTCCCAAGCTCCAGATATGTAGCAGTCACTCCAGATGGTTGAGAGTGGGGACGAGGAAGCCGCCCCCGCCCCTTCAGGTTTAAGTCAAAAATGTAGATGCCTCATGATGCACTTTACAGACGCCCGGAGGGAAGGCCTGCCGCGCACAGCGACCGGAGGGCCCTGCGCCGCGGGCGCTTCTCCACATCTGTGCTTTTTTTCTCTTGGTCTCTTTTTCCAGGAAAAAAAAAAAAAAATAAGGCGCTTCGGCAGGCTGCAGCCAGCCCGCCTTGGGGTTCAGGTGCGGTGCGGGGCCCTTTCCGAGCAGGAAAGGAGAGAGGGAGGGGAACAGACCAGACGCCAGCCTTGAGTCCGCGCACTGTGCCATTTCCTCCTGTCCCGCCCCCTTTTCGTTCTGAGCTTGGGGTATTTATAGACTATTAATTTTCTGAGCCAATAGCGGTTGGGAGTCTCTTGAACACTCGGGAGAGAAATGGTTGGGGGGACGGGAAATACCCCCAGCCCTCCTTCCTGGCCCAACCTGAGGGATCTGGGCCTGCGGGCTGTGTCTGGAGGCCCTCTGGCAGCCAGGAGGGGAGGGGGTGCTGAGCTGTGAAGCCCCCAGTAGGGGTGACGCTGTGTAGCATTAACCCCCTGGGGGGGGTTCGCTGCTGGTCTAAATTGGACCCTCCCCACTCTTATCCCCAGATTCCCCCTGGGGCAGAGGGGCGAACCCCCTACTGGGGCCATTTCAATGGGGGTGGAGTCTTTGTTCATTCACTTATTTTTACTGATAATGGAGGTGATCGGGCCCCGCCCCCACCCCAGTCGTGTCCTTCCCCACCTCTGTCCTCCAGACGTCCCCACCCCCTCCCTCCCTCCCTCCTATCTTAGGTGAACCCCCCATTATGTGTTTAATGGTTTCAGATGTGAACATCATGTGTTAACTGTAGCTCTGTAAACTTTTTTGTGGGGGGGTGGGGGGAGGGGTCAGAGGGTAGGGGTCAAGGATTTGTTTTTCGTTTGTTTTCATTTTCCAAAAAAAAAAAAAAAAAAAAGAAAAAAGGAGTGGGTTTGTTTTTCAAGAACTGTCTTGGATACCTATTTAAATGTGTTCTGTTTTTTGTTGTTGTTTTTTTTTTTTTTTAACGATTTTTAAATAACACGTGTGCCTCCGCGGGTCTGAGGGTGGAGGTCCCAGGCAGGAACCAGCCCGCCCCCCTCCGCCCTCACCAGGGTTCCCCCAAGAAAGCATTACCCACCCTCGGGGGGTCGGGCTGTGGGAGGGGTTCCCGGCACCTTGCGTGAGTTTCCTGTATGAAGACAAAATTGGGAAGAAAACCATACACCGTGATTTCAAGTAATAAACAAAATGAAACCTGAGTGAGCGTACGGCCCGTTTTCAGGGGTCAGGGGAGCGGTCTTGGCCATCACAGAGGGGCCTCCCACGTCTGGTGGGTGGTCTTTATCTGAGAAGGGGCTCGGGGGGGGGGGGTCCGGAGCCCTGGCAGGGCGTGGGGTGCTCCCACCAGGGAGTGGGAGCTGGAAGCTGGGTGGGGGGCGTATCCCAGAACAGCTCCCGCTCCGCCCTGCCCCGAGGTGAGGGTGGGCAGGAAGTTGCCCCAGCGGGGGAGGGCGGGGCCAGCCACTTCCCAGTACCCGAGGCCGGAAGTGCCGCAGGGTGTGGGCACAGGGCTGCCTGGCTCCAGTGTGCCCTGGGCGGGGCCGGCTTCCTGGCTCTGGGAAGTGGGCTGGGGCCCAACCCCTGGAACTAACCGGAACCACACGCTGGGCCTCGGCTTCCCCAGCCCCAAACCGGAAGGCTGTTCCAAGTGTTGCGCCAAGCAGGGGGCACTGCCCGGGTGGGCCCCCTGACCCAGGCCTCTCCTTCCCTCGAGGCTAACAGAGCCCCCTCCCACCTGCCCGGCCTCCAGAAGCTCTCTAGCGGAAATCAGTGATTCCCCAGGACCCGGGACTTGTGTTCAGGGCCTCTGGCCTGGCCTGGCCCCAGCCTGGGGTGAACTCTCACCCCTCTGTGGCCTCACCCTGGCCTTGCATTCCAGCGCTCCCCAGCCCTGACGGTCATGCCTCAGGCCTCCGGGCCTTTGTCCGGGCCGTGCCCGGTGCAGAAACACCCCTCTGCTGGCTGCCCTTGCTTTGCCAGGGGACTTCTCAGCTGGCATCTCCCTGAGGGCCGGGCCAGGGTCGGGTCGTCTCCGGGGTCCTGCCTGCACCCACGTTGGAGCTGGGCAGACAGGACAACAATAGCATCATTTTCCTTATGTTTACTCAGCTAACACGCGCTGCCACCTCACAGAACTAACTATACTCCCGTTTAACAGATGAGAAAACCCCAAGCGCAGGAGAAACACCACTCGCACTAGAGAATCAGGGGTGTTTGTTAAATTGCTGACCCACTCCTGGGCAGATTTCCGACAGCCCTCGGCCGTGCCCTCCAAGCCCCGGCTCCAGGGATCCCAGGAGCAAGCCCTAGGACTGTCCCAGCAGTGCCCTGGGAGTATCTCTGGGAGGCCCTTCTGCCCCTCCCTCAGCCCAGTCTGTCTCTCACACACCCACACACACGCACACAATCACGCAGGAAGGTAAGATGCGCATTGCAGGCTGGTCCCTCCCGGCCTCTATGTCAAGGGCACGAACGTCCGGCAGGCATGGAGGGCCACAGGCCGGAGGCGTGGGCGAGACTGCTCAGGTGGAAACTTCCGCCCACGCAGCCGCCCCCGGGGTCAGGGCTGAGAGCTGTACCCAGGTGACTCCGCAGGGCTGGGTAGGGGATGTGGAAGGTGTCAACTGGGGCACCCTCTGAATCACACGCTGAATCCTGCAGGGCGGAGGGGGGGCACTTGCCCTGCTGCCCGGGAACCCACCCCTCAGGGCGCTTCCTGGCGCCAAGCCCGGGAGTCCAAGGGTCACGGCCCTGCCCTGGGGTCCTAGGAGAACAACACCCTTTAGGGGGCTGCGGGCCATAGGCCTCCTCCCCCTACTCGGGCGTGCAGCGCACACACCTAGCCAGGGGGAGGTGCCCGGCCAAAGGGAGCTGAGGTCAGAGGGGCTGCCGGCCAGGCCAAGTGAAGCAAAGGTAAACTGAGGCCCTGCGCGGGCAGGGGCGGCGGAGACCGCAGGGGGCGGAGTCTGCCCTGCGCCGCCCCCTCCTCCCATTGAGGAAAAAGCTGAATGGGAGGGGGTGGCCCCCGGAAACCCGCAGAAATGGAATCGCGGTTTCCACGGCAACGCGCCGCGAAACGGGCCTGACGTCACCGGGGGGCGGGAGCCCCGCCCGCCCCCAGCCTGCGTCCGGAGGCGCGGGCCCCGCCCACCGCGGGGGCCGTCTCAGTGGCGGCCGCGTCCTTCGCTCCTCCGCACGCGCCAATGACCGCGTGGCGTTCACGCCCGGGGGCGGGACTGCGCCCGGCCGCTCGAGTGCGCAAGCGCGGCGCGGAGGCGTGCGGCCCCCTCCCTGCGGTCGCGCGTCTGCAAACTTGGGGGCGGGAGGGGCGCCGAGGGTCTGACGGCTCGGTCGCGCCGGGACGGAAGAGGGGGCGTCCCGGAGGGCGCCGCACGTGGAGCCCCGCACCGGCGCGTTCTCTCGCACCCCTCCTTCCACGTCAGGCATTGTCTGCTGTCCCCTCCTCGATTCGGTGACGCGACCTCCGGATTCGGGGAGCATCGCAGCCCCCGGGCTGGGGGAGCGCAGGAGGGCGAGCGCGAGAGCACTTGGCCTGAGGCTTTGCCCACGGAATTGTAGGAGTTTGCTAAGCGTTGGAAGGGGTGCCCTTAGGTGGGAGACAGCGTGTGCAACGGCCTGGGGGCGCGCGAGCAGGTGTCCTTGGGGGGGCAGCTGCGAAGTTAGTTGGGGGAGAGGAGACGACGGAGGAAGGACCTGAAAGGGGGTGATTCCCCAAGTCTGTGGTTTGGGGAGGAGAGCGCCGCGCAGGGAGGAGGAGCAGGTGGGGCGAGCAGAGGCCGGAACGTGCAGGGGTGGCCGCGCGGCTGGGCGTTCGGCCTGCGCTTAGACGACGGGCCTGAGGAAGGACAGACGGGGCATTGTCTGAAGCTGGCCTCCGGTCCCCGGGGAGGTGGCTGGCAAGGGGGCTGCAGGAAGCGAGGCGTTCGGAGGAGGGGGAGCAAGTCCTGCCTGAGCCGGAGCCCCCGCAGGGAACAGGACCAGCCTCTGCGTGGTGCGGAGGGCGCAAGCCCCAGGCCGGGCGGGCCGACACCGCGTCGGCGGCCGGGCGGGCCGCGTGCCCAGGTGTGGCTGCCACGGCGTGACGTCGGGACTGGAGGCCTGGCTCCGGGTGGGCGATGTCCCCGGGTGCTGAGACCAATGTGGGCAAGCAGAAGAAGGTCACTGGGGTCATTGCTTTCTGCTTGGGGCCGGCTCCGCGGTTTGGAAAGGCCAAAGGCCAGGATCAGGGCCTGGCTTAGGGTGGGCACCGGCCCCTGGCAAGGAACCACCTGGGGAGATGGGAGTGAGTAGTGCCCGGTCTGAGGCGACTTCTGCACCTCTGGCACCAGGGAGGTGCCGCGGGCACAGACCCCCCCCCCCCCAGGCCCCGCGGGACCCGCCCACCTCTCTGGGCGCCTTGGGAGTGGGAGTTACCAAGCCACAGCCAAGGGTGCTGGGGCCCAACCTAAGAGTCTTGACTCCAGCCCCACCCACTGCTGCCCAGCCCCGGGAGGGCAGGGGACAGGCGGCCTCCCGTGTGACCTGGGACAGGTGAGCAGCCCAGCCCTGGCGTGGGGGCGGGGCCCTGTCACTTGGGGCCCTGCCCGTTACTGCCCTCCCGCTGGCTCTCCATCGAGGGCTGGCTGCCTCTGTTTCCCCAAGTCGGCCCCTCAGTGTCCTTCCTTTTCTGCATCTGCCTTTCCTGCCTCTGGCTGGTTCTCTTTTTACTTTTCTCTGTTTCTCTTCCTCCTTGGCTTTCTCAGTATCTTGGTCTGTCTCTGTTGCTATCTGGGTCTCTGTCCCACCGACTCCTCCCCCACTTCCGCCCCCTCTCTGGGGCCCCCTCCCTCACCCCGGGCACACATTCCAGCCTCCACCCGCGCCTGGCCGCCCCTCCCTGGAGGCAGCTGCCGACGCGCTGGGTGCCCAGGCTGGAGGGAGTGGGCTCAGTCTGGGTCAGAGGTCAGCGTGCAGTCTGGGGCCTTAGAGGGCACCCCCTAACTCCTCCGGAATGTGGGCGGAGCCGCCCGCCCTCCCTGTTCCCCTCGGGAGGAGGCGGTCATCCGCGGGGAGGGGGAGGCCCCAGACAGCTGGCCAAGACCTTGCCTCCCGCCCCACCCCCCAGACACTGCCCCCAGGCCTCCCGGAGAGTCTGCACACCCCTGCTCCCACGCAGGGCCCCCTGCAGACACTGGGCCCACCAGCCTGCCTTTTCGCCTTTGCTCGGAGAAAAACACCTCAGCAGTTAAGGGGTAGATCCTGAATCCCACCTGAATGCCAGGCTCCAGGTGGGCTCTGCCGTACACAGCACCCCCCTCCACACACACACACACACACACAGGCCCCAGGCCGCACTTTGATGCCAGCACCACCGCAATCAACAGTGTGATTTTCAAAACAACGACACCCCCACTCTCACCCAGGACCAAGACCTCCCTTAAGAAAACCGCAAAATTGAAAGTCACACCCGGCCAGGGGCAGGAACTCAGGTCCTCAGAGACTGTGCGCACCCTCCCTGAAACACAAACCCGTCGCTCCAGCCACACATGCTGCCCACACACCCTCCCTGGCTGCGGGGGCCCCCAGAGGAGCAGAGACCTGCCAGTCCGGGTTGGGGGTAGGTTGGGATGGGGGTGCATTCGCTTCCTCCTCACTGAGGAAGGGGGTGTGAGTATCACGGGCCATTTTCTGTGTGTCCCGCGGTACAAGAAAGAGCAGAGAACCCCAGTGTCCGCAGTGTGCTCTGGCCCCTGGCTGACCCCCCTCACTCCCCACACTGGCTCCAGGAAGCCCTGCTGCTACACCCACTTCTCCGACGGGGCAGCTGAGGCCCCAAGAGGCGCCTGGCCGGCGCTCGCCCTCAGGGGAGCTGGGAGGTCCACGCGTGTGTTGCCGTAGGAGAGGGCACTCGGCAATGCCGCCACTGCAGCGTTGCCATGAAGACGCCACAAGCCCCGGGGGGCCCCTCCGCCCTCCTTGTGCCTGCGGGGAGCCTGTGCGTGGGCGACATCTGGAGTGTGGGGTCCAGGTCACGTGAGTGGATGGGCCACTCGCTGGGGTGCTCCTCCCACCCCTGGGGGTGTCCCGGCTCTGGCATTTCATAGGCACCTGACGTAGGTTGTGCGCGTGTGTCTGACGGGGACGGGTCCCCCTGTGTACGTGACACCACCCCTGCGCCTGAGGGTCCCTCGGTAGAAAGGAAAGGGTCAGCGCCCGAACCTCTGGAGCGTCATGAGGAGAGAAGAACAAATGTGTGTAACCCCAGGGGCAGGGCCAGGACGGGTCTCCCCCGGGCCTCTGCCCTTACAGGGGTGGGCCGGGCGGCCCACATCCTCCCGCACGCGGTACAGACTGGTCACCAACCATGCACCGCCTGGCCTGCGTGTGCCCGGGATGGGAGCCTGATCAGGGCGGAGGAGTGGCGGCCTTCTCGCGCCTGGGCCTTGAGTCACGGGGAGCTCCGCCCCCCCTCCCCGGTCCCCCACATCCTCCTCCACTGTGGAGACCCCTTCCCAGGAGCAGGAGGGAAACAGAGGCCAGGATGCAGCCCCTTCCAGCTCCCCACGGGAGCAAACAGCTGCTGGCCCCTGTAGCTGCCGTCCGCCCCGGGAGACCCTGGCCGCTGCTGACACAGAGGGCGCCCTCGTCTCTGCCCCCGGGGCGTGCGCGACGCCCCCAGCCTCCGGCGCGTCTGCTCGGTGAGCCCTGACTCCCCCAGGTCCCACACGCCCAGACCTGTCCGTCACCGGGCCCACATCCATATCCCTTATGCGTGTGCTTGAGGCCCGCCTGGCTCACACGGAGCGCCGTGCAGGCAGGTTCCTGAGTGTGCGTTCCCTGCACACACTTCCATATCCGCGCGCGCACACTCAGCCCCAGTTTCGCATCGGCACAGCGCAGTTCCCGGCCGCGCTGCGTCTGTTTACCCACGACTCCGCAGCCACCGGCGCACATGTGCACCACACCTGGCAACGCGCACACTCATCCGGGCTCCGCTTCCCCCACCCTGGCTCTGGGCCCTGCGGGTTCGGCCAGGTCTGTCCCACTTGCGCGCCCCCGCCGGGAGGCCGCCAGGTGCGCGCCCCCGCCCCCGCTTGGCCGGCCGGGAGGGGGCGATAATTACGCGGCCTGAGGGGTCCCCCCCCCCCACGCCTTTCATCCCGGCCACGCCCGCCCGGGATCCAGACGCTCATTACCGCCTCCCGCCCGGTCATTAACCAGGGTCGGGGGAGGACCCGGCGTCCAGCGGCCCGGCGGGAACGCGAGGGGGCGCCGCGGGAGCGAGGTGACCCCGCCTCGTCCCCACGGCGACGCCGAGGGTGGGGCGTTCAGCCCCAGGGGCGGCGGACCTCGGGGGAAAGTGGTCTCCCGTGGTCCCGAAGGCAGGCGCGGCGACCGCCCGAGGAGAAGTGATTTGTGAAAGCGCCGACGGGGCCCCCCCGGCCTAATCCCAGTCCCGCCGGGCAGGCGGCGAGCACCGCGCGTCCGGGCCGCGAATAGCAGCCTCTCCCGTGCCCTGGGCTATTTTGAGCCCCATCCTTCCACCCCCGCCACCACCACCCACTTCCCGGCGCTCTGGCAGCGGCGCGGGGGCAGGCCCGTGGGCGGGACGAAGACCCAGCCACCCACCCACGCCGGAGAGCGCGGCGGGGCCAGGAGCCCCCGGCGGGGGAGACAGCGAGGCCGCAGCGCCCCCTCGCGTCTTCGGGGAGAGCGTGGCGAGCGGTCACAGCAGCGGCGAGGTGGGCCCGAGCCCCCTGGAGGCCCCTGCCGCCGCCGCGGACACGCAGATGCAGGAGACCACAGAAACACAGGTACGGAGGCAGGCCACACACCTGAGATGCAAGCTCACGGTCTGCACACAATGCCCAGAGCAGATGCACCTGGCGACAGGTGTCCCCAGGTATGGGTCTATTCTGTGATGGGGACCCAGGCCGGTCGTGGGTATACACGGAGACTGGTAACCCAGCAACGACTCATAGTAAACACTTAATAACAGTGTGCTGGCGGAATGAATGAATGAACGAACGAACAGAGCACTTCACAGAAGCAGAAGGCCGACTCAGAACTACAGAATAGTGGGTGGGGGGGCCTGGGAGCAGAAGATGATTCCGGGCCACCCTGATTGCAGAGACACCCTGTCCCGGGCTGGAGCAAGGAGCCGCTGACCTGACTGGCCAGGGGAGCATATCAGAGACGGCGGCGGGGCATGGTTCCTGGGCTGGGCATGCCCGGCTGCTGCTCCCCCACCCCCTCCGCCACGGGCTGCGGAAGGCAGAGGGAGCTGAGAGCTGATGTCTTTTTGCTCCTTTTAATAACCACCCTGCGTGAGAGGCTGACGCAGCAGCAGGCTGTGTCTGACGGGGAGTCGTATGGGAGGGCTGTGGCATGGGGTGGTGAGGTGCAGAGGGGGTGGCGATGACTCACGAGCTGCTCTGGGGGAGGGGGTTCCTGGGCTGAGAGGGGTCCCAGCAACCTTGTCATGGGCGACCGTGTCCTTGCCGGTGTCCCTTTGTCAGCTGGACCCACCTGAGGGTGGGAGCAAGTCTGAGGCCTGCGTGGGACTGGAACTTCTCTGGGTGGGCAAGAAAGGGGCGGGGGGAAGTCTCTGTTCCCAAATCCCAACTCTTCTACATAGGGTCCACCCCCTGGAAACTTCCTAGAGCAGAGCTTGGGCAGCCAGGGTTCTGCACTAGTTTTTTCCACCCCATGGAGGGGTCCAGGACCACAGGAGACAACATAAGCCAAACCTGGGCAGGCAGCAAATGGTAGCCACAAAGAGGCTCCCATAAAATGGCCTTGGGACTCCCCAGGAGTAATCTTGGGGGTGAGGGTCTCTGCGTTCTCCTTGATAGCAAAGATCTTGGAAACCCCGGAGAGGGACAGGAAAAAGCCACAGGGGAAGGAGCAGAGCGTTGCTCGCCGCCCCCCATCCTCTGCCGCAAGCAAGGGGTACAGGACGAAGTGTTGGCGGGGGGCTGGGGCACACGCTGGCGGGCTGAGATGAATGTTGGGGTGTAGTGCTGGCCATAGCGGTGGGGTTGAATCCCAGGTTGGGGTCGGCCTGCAGTCTGGGGCTGGAATGCACAAGCGTCTGTCAAGGTGAGTGTGGGGCTGTGGGTGCCACACCAAGAAGAAAAGTCAGGGTTGGGGTGGAAGTTAGGTGTGGGTGCTGGTGCAGGTCTGTAGGCAACCTAGGCTGGGTGAAGTTGGGGTGCCCCAAAGTAGGGAAGGAGGAGGAACTAGGATCTTGGCGAATACTGGGGTCGATGAAGTGGGGCTGTCTCAGTCTCGGAGTTTGGGCGGGCCATGGGGCCCACTACGTGAAGTGGTGTCTTCAGGAGGGTGGGTTCCCGGGAGTGCCAGCGTATGGGTTACGTGGGCAAGTGTATCAGAATGATGTCAGGGTTCAGATGTACTGACAGCTGGGGCTCCGGTGGGTATGGGGACCTGGCTAAGGCTGACGTGTCAGCGATGGCTGGAGCACAGCAGGGGATCCCCAAGAGGTTTGGACCCTTGGCCTCCAGAGGCCCTTTTGTTACTCGCCTCCGGCCGGAAGGTGGGGATGGGGGCGGGCATGTGGAAGTGGGTCAGCCCCGCCTCCCCGCTTCGCAGGCCACGCCCCCTGAGCGCGGGCGGGGGACTGCGGACCGGGCGCGTCCCCGCCAACTACCGCGTCCGGCACCCGCGCGCGCGCGCGAGGGGGCGGGGCCAAGACAGGACCGGCCCCCACTCATGAATATGAAGTACGGCTGCGGCCCCCGAGCCCTCGGATTGGCTGGCGCGGTTAGGGGGGGCGGGGTCCCGCGGCGGCGTACTTAAGGCCGGGCACTCGGCGCCCCCCCCTCACTCGCGCGTTAGGAGGCTTGGCTCGGTGTGCTGCGCCTTGTTCCCGCCTGCGTCAGGGACCTTCCCGGCTCAGTGGTGAGGGCCCTGGCGGCGCCGGCTCCGCGGGCCCGGGGCGGCGAGCGGCCTGCGGCCGGCCGGAGGAGGCGGGGCGGCGGCGTCACGCCTCTGGGCGGGGGCGTCGCCGGGGCGGGCCCGGGGTGGAGTCCGCCCCGCAGGCGGCGATGGGCAGCGGGACACCGGGCCAAGCTGCGGCCGAAGGGCGTCTTTCCCTCGGGCCAGGCCCTCCGCGACCGGGACGCCACCGCAAAATGGCGGCCGCGAGCGCGCAGCAGCGCCCAGCGAAATGGCGGGAGTGTCGGGTGCCCGGATGGAGTGGCGCAGGGCGTGCGCGGGGCGCATGCGCGCGGCGGTGGGCGGGGCCACTTTGCGTGGCCCGGCCCGGCGCTCCCGGTGTCCCGTTGGAGGCGCGCGAGCCGAGCGCAGTTCTGGCGCAGTCCGCGTCGCGCTCTGGCCTGTGTCTCCGGAGCTCTTGGGCGGAGGTTCCCCCCAGCCCGTCAGGAGTCGGCCCCACACGCCGGGCTCCACATCGGAGCTTCTGCCCGCGCTCAGTGCCCAGTCACCACCCCACCCCCTCAGGCGCCCCACAGTGGACCAAGCACTCTGACACTCCCCACCCCGATGGTCAGGTTGGGAGTAAGTCCGGACCCGCGCACAAAGGGGAAACCCCGAGGTGCACCCGGCCGGTGGCGGCGGAGGGCGACGCCTGCCTTCCGTGTCCAGCCTTAAGCATTCCCTGAGACCGGGCGAAACGCTGGAGCCGCGCAGCCAGGGCGGCCCCCGGGGGCCCCCGGGCTGCGGGGGCGGAGCGGGGCGGCGCACAGCAAAGGAGCGAGGGGCCCGGTGGCCCAGGAATGAAGGGCTGGCTGGAATTTAGAAGCCCTGGGCGTGGATTTGAGGGGGCAGAGGGAGCATTCCAGGGCTCACCCGACAGGCCTCTGTGGCTTGTGCAAGGAGGAGGGGGGCAGGGAAGCCCTGGAGGGTCCGGTGAGGAATTCAACAGCGTTTGCCACAGGCCGCCATGGCATCAGACGAAGGCAAGCTTTTCGTCGGAGGGCTGAGCTTTGACACCAACGAGCAGTCGCTGGAGCAGGTCTTCTCAAAATACGGGCAGATCTCGGAAGGTGCGGCCGTGCGGGGTCGGCGGAGCGGGGCTGCGGCGGGGAGGGCTGGGTGCTGACTCCCGATTTCTCCTATGCAGTGGTGGTCGTGAAAGACAGGGAGACCCAGCGGTCGCGAGGCTTTGGGTTTGTCACATTTGAGAACATCGACGATGCCAAGGACGCCATGATGGCCATGAACGGGAAGGTGAGGGCTGCTGCTTGGGGCCACACAGGGTGCGAGTTGGCAGGTGGGACCCGCCTCGGAGGGTGAGGAGCACAGGCTAACCTGTGCAGGTCTCTGTTTCCAGTCTGTGGACGGGCGGCAGATCCGAGTGGACCAGGCCGGCAAGTCCTCCGACAACCGATCCCGCGGGTACCGAGGTGGCTCTGCTGGGGGCCGGGGCTTCTTCCGAGGGGGCCGAGGCCGGGGCCGTGGGTTCTCCAGAGGTTAGTGCCACGCTCAGGGCCTGGGTCCCCTGGGAACACGGTGGGGACACAGCTGGTAGGCGCTGGCGCTCACCTGTCCCTGCCTGCAGGAGGAGGGGACCGAGGGTACGGAGGGAGCCGGTTCGAGTCCAGGAGTGGGGGCTATGGAGGCTCCAGAGACTACTACAGCAGGTGAGGGGTGCGCGGGTGGGCATAGGGCAGGCGCTCTGCTGCTGCCGCCGGCGTAAGTGGCCTGAAGTGTCTTTCTTGCAGCAGGAGTCAGGGTGGCGGCTATGGTGACAGGAGCTCGGGCGGGTCCTACAGAGACAGCTACGACAGTTACGGTAAGTCACGCTCCGAGGGCACCACGCTGCCAGGGCCTGCAGTGGGAGCTCAGTAAGCCTTGGCGCCCTCTGCAAGCGACACTCAGACTTTGTCACCGTGCTTGCCCATAAGGGACAAAACTGCCCTCTCGGTCTCTGTGCCAGCAGACATTTCTACCACAAGACAAAGGCAGAACCATAGTGACCAAGAAGGAAAGGGAGAGTGAGGGCCCCCTCCCCCGAGCAGGCGGCAGAAGTGCATGTGCGCCCCGCCTGCGCCCCGCCCTCAGCTGGTGGGGGGGGGTGACTCCTGAGGCTGAGGGGCCGTGCCCTCCAGGTCTGGCCCTGGGAGTGGATGCTGCGTCTTGTCGCGTGCTTCAGTGCCTTTACACTGTCCCTGCTTCTTGTTCTCAGCTACACACAACGAGTAAAAATCCTTCCTGCTCAAGATCGTCCTTCCAATGGCTGTAGATTTAAAGATTTTGGGAGCTTCGCTGAATCGTTCATGTGTAGTGAACACACCTCCTTGTACCCCACTTTTGTAGTCCTATCCGTTCTGATCTTGTCAAACACAGCCTGACTGCTTCTGACCCCCAGATGGCTTCATTCCTACATTTCTCTTCTTCAGGAAGCATTGTCCATTTTTAAGGGTTTTAAAATGTTCTGAAAAGCACTTCAGATTTTACTTTTTTCTTTTTACCACGAGCCGTAAGTTTTTTAGGAAATCTTTGGGGGTTGCGTGGGTTTTGGTTTTGGTCGTGTTGCCTTTTTTCTCTTTTTAGTGGGGTTAGGCCTGTGAGGTCGGGTGCCCCGATTCACTTCACTTTAAGATCGAACGGACTCCGAATCCGCTTTTTGTTGGAAGCTGAGCGAGCTTGGCTTTTTTCCAGCTCTGTGTACCGTTTCTGCGTGTAGCGTGGTAGGACCCATGCTGGGGCAGTGGCAGGGGTGCCCCGGGCCTGGCCCGGCCGGCCCTTCCGTGCTGTGGATGACCCACAGCAGAGTTGCAGGTGTCCCTTCGAGAGGTTCTTGAAAATGTTTATTTATATTGTCTTTTTTTACTAGAAGACGTACGCGTCACCCATTGATGTTGTATTTGAAGTGGTTAAGGAACTCTTGTACGCAGTTTTCTTTGGCTTTACGAAGCCGATTAAAAGACCGTCTGAAACGAACCTTGCTCTGACAATTTCCCTTTCATTGCACAACACACTCCCTGCTCTGGGTTCGAGGCAGTCAGAACAGAGCAGAAAGGGCAGTTCGAGAAGTAGGTCTGCTGGTCCCGCCTGAGGCCCTTGGAGAGCTGGACAGGGAAGGCACGGTAGACGGGCGCTGGCCGGGCCCCTCGTGACAGCTGACCGCCATCGGTCCCAGTGAGGCGTGTAGGCGGGCGACGGGGTGGGCAGCTTAGCGGGGGACGGTGGACACTCGGGCACGTGACGGCGACCCAGACTGCCGTAGTTGAGGAGCAGGCCAGACGGCGGTCGGCAGGCAGCGTCCCCGGGCGACCGCAGACTGACCGGCTCGTTAGCTAGCTCTGCCGCTGCTTTACACGTTCTGAGCCGTCACCGCTAGCCTATGGAAGCTGCAGCCTCGGAGGACAGAAGTGTTGTGCGCCCAACAGAAACCTCTGAGACGCAAGCTGCTCCCTTGGCTAGCTCATATGTGGAAGTAGCCCTGTAATTCGAGGTAACTCCTTTTGCTCGTGTCCGCATCCCTCCTCTTGTCGAGAGCTCGTTTGAGAGTAAAACTTATGTACCTGGGGAATGTTCCTTTGACTGTTTTTCCTTTTCCATTTTTCTTTCCTTTTTTATAAAAGTTTTTAATTTTTTTTAAGTCGAACTAGAACTAAAGTCAGACCTCGGCCATTTGCCCTTCCCCGCCTGCAGCCAGGCGAGCGGCCTGGGCAGTCCTGCTGCAAGAGTAGGTTCGCTCCATAAGCAGGATTGGAGACCACCGAACGCCCTGCCTTTTGGAATTTTTGTTCATCAATTGACAGTCTTTTCCAGACCTCCCTCCCTCAGGCGCCCAGCTAGCTTTCTCAGATGTCTGTTGCCGCCATGAGTTTTTCCCAGAGCCCACACCGTTCTCTAAGCAGCTCCATCCCAATCGGGTAGCTGGCTCTGCTTAAGGGTGGAACGCGGCCCGGCCCAGCTGGAAGGCACAGGCCCACCCTGGGCACGCCAGCCCGGGACGGCGCCTCTGCCGGGACGGCCCCGATGTCTAGTTTGAGACCCTTGTAGGAGCTGTGGATGGTTTCAGGGGAGGTGAGGAGGGACAGATGTGACCTGTGGCCAAGACCCTGGGCATAATGCTTCTTTGCTTTGGCAGGTTGAAGGGAAGCCAGCGTGAGTTGGAAGCGCGGCCAGAGAGCAGTGAGGAGTGGGGGTCGCTGTCCCAGAAGGGACCTCATCTGGAAGCGAGAGCCAGAGGCGCAGCCACCGCTCTTCAAACCCTATCCCCTGTGAGTGCTTTTTAGGGCGGGTGATGGGAGGCCCTCTGGCCCTGGTGTTTGGCCCCTCTGGCGGGGCCTCCTTTCCTGCTCTGCCCCCGCTGTAACGCCGGTGGAAGGGGCACAGCGTTCTGCAGGGCTCCCCTGTGGCCAGCTCGCCTTTTCTCCCCTGTTCATCTTCCCACAGGCCCCTCACTGGGGAGGCCGAGGTGCCAGGGACCCAAGTTGCTCCTGGAGGACAGACGCGTTTGTGGCCCAGGCACCTCCCCGCAGCCAGGACTCCCCCTCGGCGGGAGCAGGACCCGGAAGTCGGCTTTAAATAAAGGGCTGGTGTGTCCACACAGAAATCCGAGTCTGGCTTGGGAAGTGGCCGGGCAGCTGGGCATGGGGGGGGGGGGAGGCGCCAGGGATTTGGGGGAAAGTCCACTGGGGAAAGCTTCTTGCTCTTGTCGGGGCACAAGCCGGGCCCAAGCCAGAAAGACCACCTGGTCACTGCATTGTCCCCTTGGGCGGTTCTCTCCGGTTGTGAGGGGCACAGGCCCCCCCATCTGAGGCGGGCACCTGTCTCCCAGGGTCTTGGCAGGGTGACCCCCAGAGCCTCCCATCTGTGCTCCCCGCAGGGCGAGGTTGCTTCCCGGGCTGCTTGTCTTCTGCACCCTCCTCTGGGGGTGCAGAGCCCTGGGCCTGACCCTTGGTTCCACTGCCTTCAGCCCTGGGGTGCTCCTGCTGTGGGAGGGGGCGCCTAAGTGTCCACAGTTCTTCCCCCAGAGCGTTGGCCCCCCACCAGGGTGAGCGCTCTGGCTCGGACGGAGGGTGCAGAGAGCGCTGCGCCAGGCCGCGCTGCGTGGTGTGGCCTCGTCCGCCAGGCCGCGCTGCGTGGTGTGGCCTCGTCCCCCACGCGGGTCTTTTGGCGCCACTGTGCCTGCGGGAGCCGCTCCGGGACGAGGTGTGGGCTCGGGGGCGGGGCCTGCAGCCCGAGGTGCGCGCGCAGCCGGCGGGGCGCTGTGGGCCACGCCCGCGAGCGCCAGCGTTAGGCGAGGTAGGGGGCGGGGCGCCGGCGGGCGGTAGGCCCCACGCCCGCGAGCCATTGGCTGGGGCCGCCCCCACGCCAGTGAATGACAGCTGCTCGCGCGGGCGGGGCACAGCCACCGCTTCAGCCGGGCCATGGGGCCGCTCGCGCTGCCGCCGCCGCCGCCGCCCCTCCTGCTGCTGCTGCTGCGGGCGCTGCTGCTGTCGGCGCTGCTGTGCGGGGCCGAGGAGGCCGCGCCCCCGTCGCCGCGCCCCGTGCAGGCCACGCTGTCGCCACCGCCCGCCGTGACGAACGGGAGCCAGCCGGGCCCGCCGCACAACAGCACGCACTCGCTCCCGTCGGAGTCGCTGGGCTCGCCGCTGCTGCGCTCCTTCTACGTGCTCACGGGCCTCAGCGGCCTGGCCGCGCTCTACTTCCTCATCCGGGCGTTCAGGTGCGTCAGGCGCAAGCCGCCCGGCGCGGCCAGTCAGCGTGCGCCTCGCGCCCCACGTGTTGGCCGCAAAGCCCCGCCCCCCGCGGGGCGGAGTGGCGGGCGCGGTGCCCGGCCGTCACGTGACTGGGGTGGGTGGGGCCCGGCGGTGACGTCAACCCCGCCACCTCCGGTCGCGGGGGCGCTGCTGCACCCCGAGGATCGGATCGGGGTGGCCTTCCGGGCGGGATCCGGGCTTGCGACCCCGGCCTTCCCCCCTCCCGTCCTTCCCCACGGCGGGCCGCGGAGGCCGCGTGCCGTTTCTCTGTTCTGCCGACGGAGCGTGGAGGGCTGTCTCCGGCCCCGCGGCCCCGCGGCGGGGGCTTCCCGGTGCGGCCTCCTTTCCGGGGCTGTTCTTCGGAGGCCTTTGTCACGCACGGCCGGCCGTGCCCAGAGAGCCCCGCCAGCCCACCGGGGCTGCGCCGAGTACGTGCTGCGGACGCGTCCGCGGCGGGGCTGGGGGCCGGGAGCGGCCTTCTGCGCGGGCCGCGCTCTCACGCGCTCCCCGGTGGTCTGAGGCGGCCACCCCGCCCGCCCTGCTGCCGGGGGCCCTGGCCCGGGGCCTCCGCTGTGGGAGCTGCCCGGCGTGGGGGGGGGGGGCGCCTTTGTCGCTCACGCAGGTGCACCTCACTGGTGGTTACCAGGCGACAGAAACACACACTTCAGGCCGGAAGCTCCACAGAGGGCGTCGTGGGTCTGGCAGAGGAGGACCCCGGGCCCTGGCAGATAGGGCGTCTGCCACCCCAGGGACGCACCCCAGGATGGCCCCTGAGCTTGCCTAGGTCTGCTTCCAGGTTGAAGAAGCCACAGCGGAAGAGGTACGGCCTTCTGGCCAACACGGAGGACCCCACGGAGATGGCTTCGCTGGAGAGCGACGAGGAGATCGTCTTTGAGACGAGGAATCTGAGATGGTAGCGCAGGCCCCCCGTCCCGTCGCCTGCGGGGCCGGTCGGCGCGTCGGGGGGGCCGCCAGCCCGCCAGGGTCCGTGCCCTCCCGGCGCGGGCCTTCCTGTTGCGGGGATGCACGGGGGCAGGGCAGCCCCTCCCTGCCCCGAGTAGCCCTTTCTTTTCATTTCTTTAATTTTTTTAAATGTTTATTGATTTTTTTGAGAGAGAGAGAGAAAGAAAAACACAGAATTCAAGCTTGGTAGGGGCAGAGAGACCGGGAAACAGAATCTGAAGCAGCTCCAGGCTCTGAGCTGTTGGCACAGAGCCTGACACGGGGCTCGAACTCACGAACCGTGAGGTCCTGACCTGAGCCGCAGTCTGATGCCGAACTGACTGAGGCCCCCAGGCGCCCCAGCCATTTCCTTGAGATGGGAACAGGCTGCAGCGCTTGAACCGGTGGGCACTTGCTCTCGGCCCGACCGCGAAGGCCGAGCTGCGTCAGGTGGAGAATGAGCAGCGGGGCGCTGCCGGCGGGACGCAGAGCTGGCAACAGGGCCTGGGCAGGAGTGAGGGCCTGTCCAACCCCGGTGTGTCGGGATGGAGGCTGCAGCCGCGGTTCTGGTTTCCCAGTGAGGGACTTCTCCCCCCGAGGTGGGCAGAACAGGGCCCAGCAGGCTGGGGGCGCTAGATCTCGGTGGACCGGAGTAGAGGGGCCGCGCAGATGGGGCCTCTGTTCACCCCTCGAGTGAACCGCAGGGACGGTGGGGTCTCATCCGCCCGCTTCCCTTCCAGATGCTCAGGTCAGGGAAGCGGCATTTTCAGAAGCTCTGGGGAGAGGACAGGAGACGAACTGGCCCCACCCACTGACCGCCTGCTGGCTGTGACGCAGCCCCCGCGAACTCCTGTGGGTCCTGCCCGGCTCGCCCGCTCTGCCGGGGGCCGCCTTGCCCTTCGCCCAGACGGCGCTGTCCAGGATGGTGGGCGGGAGCCAGAGAGGCCCCGGAGTCCTCACGCAGGACTCTGAGACTGGCGGGACGGTGACCTGTGCTGTTGACCCCGCTCCTCGGGGATGAGGCAGGGGAGGCCGGGACCCAAGGGCCTGTCTGGGAGCATCTCCCCACTGGGCTGGAGGCAATAAAGGCAGCGTGGTTCTGTGGCCGGCACTCGTGTCTGCGTGGGGCGCCACCCTGGGTGCTAATGCGTAAGCTGTGGGTGGGCAACAGAGCGGGGCTCCATCGAGGCCTCCGTCCTCCCCTCTATGACCAAACTGGCTCTTCTGGACTTGTCCCCAGCTGCCCTGGGGCCCAGTGAGGAATCCCACGAGGTGCACGGAGAGGAGGAGACCTGCCCTCATCTGCTTGGATGAAGGCCTTGGCGGTCATTGTCTCTGCCCAGAGAACTGTGTTCCGGTCCTTGCTCAGGGCTCCCTGCTCTGTGCCACCTTAAACGTGGAGCCCTTCGAGGGCCGTCCCCACCTGACCCTGCTCACACCACCAGCACCTCTGGGGGTGTTTCCCGACGAGCTCTGGGGCAGTCGTGTAGGGGGGCTGGGGCGGCTGCAGCCTTAGGACCCTGCTGTCTATGCCCTTCCCCCTCGGGCTCCTGCGGAAGTGCTGATGGACCTGAGCCCCCATCCTGGGCATCCGGGCCCGCATCCCCGGCGTGGAGTTTGGTGGGTTTCTCTTTGGGCCTTTTTTCCTCGAGAGCTGCTGTTCTGGGTGGATTCTGTTTCTGGTCTGACACCCCCACCCTCTGGAGTTTGGTGGTGGAGCGTCAGAGGGGAGGGGCTCCCCGTTGGCCCGAGCGGCCCCAGCCATGCCATCGTGAGGAGCGGCCACTAGGTGGCAGCCTTGTGCCGCCCAGCCTCTTCCCTGCCGGCAGGTAGAAGGTTGGGGGGGAGGAAGATGGAGCCAAACTGGTGCAGGTGGGCAGGTCGCCCCGTTGGGGTCTCCGTGTCTCGTGCTTCGTCCTGAGCCCCACCTCGTCCCCATGTTCGGTGTGGGCTGAGCCCGCTGCCTACTCGGGGCCTGTCAGCCCCTTGGGCCCATCCGCCTCTCAGGCCAGCTGACCTTCCCTACCACGCCTGCTGCCAGGGGGCAGAGAAGCCATCTCCACCAGGCCCAGCTGGTCGGCCCTCTCGCCAGCCGGGGTGTTCTGCTCAGGGCCCTCGTCTGCTTCCCTGAGCAGCGCTCGGCCTCCTCCACACCCCACGTCTGCTCACGTTTCACCCTTCTCCTGCCTCCGGGAAGCCCTCCCTGACTGCTCCTCCCGCACTGTTCTTGGGAGGGTCCTGCCCTGACAGGCCAGCAGGTCATCTGGGGAAGGTGGAAAACGTCAGGCCCCGGAGACGTCCCACACCCTGCGCCAAGGGCTCTGGCACCTTCTCCATCCGCTCCCCCGGGTCTCCCTCGACGTCTCTGTCTCTGGTTTTGCCTTTGCGTTTCTTTCTCTGACTCTGGACCTCCGCTTGGCTCCGTTTGTGTTTCTCCGTCTGCACGGCCTCTTCCACTTGGTCTTGGTTTCAGTCTGTCTCTCGGTCCGTCTGCCTCTCTCTGCATCAGACCCACTGGGACACGCTTTTAACAGGCACGCAGACACCGTCCCCGGCTCTGCCGCCCTGTGATCTGCGCCCCTTTCCCACAGCTCTGAGCGAATTTGTGAGCTTCAAAAGACACATTAATTACTCTAATGAGGTCAGGAGAGACCCCGAGCTCTGCCATCCGGAGCTGGGAACACGCTGCCTGCCCCCCAGCCCCCCAAGCCCGGCCGTGCCCACCCCAGTCCGGGCACGGTGGGGTGCGCCCACACCCCCAGCATGAGTAATTGGCAGCCCCCGCCCGCCGAGGTTAATGCACTATTAGCAGGAAGCTCTCAGTGGCGAAAAGCCAGGAGAGGGTCCCGTCAGCTTGAGATGAAAGGCCCCGCCTGGGGGCTGCGGGCTAGGGGCCCCTGTGTGCACGTGGGCCCGGTACACGACACCGACAGTCACACATGTGCGATGCACGCGGGACGTGCACTAGCACTTCTGCATGCACATGGGGGTCACCGCAGAGGGTCTCCAGCCTGTGCCAGGTGGGGGTGCCCAGACCCACGGCCCAGGACCCTCTCAGCCCCTCTGGGTACCTCGATGCCCCCCGCACGCCACCACACACGCTGGACACGGCCAGGGGCCAGGTTGGAGCCTCTGGCTCCTGGTTGACTTCCTGCGCAGCTTAAGACCCGGCATGACCCCGGCCTCAGTTCCCCGTCTGGGAAGTAGGGACAGGTGGGAGCCTTGGGCGCCGGGCTGATGCCCCGCGGAAGACCCTTAGAGCCGGAGTGGCAGGCAGATTTGGTCCAGTTCATTATTTAGTAAGAAGCTTCTCCCACGTGTTTTTAGCTTCTTCCCTGGTACGGTGGCCTTTGAAGGTGGAAGGGCGCTGGCACTGACCCTGAGCCGTGGGGACTCACCCGGCGGGTCAGGCCGTGTGCAGCAGGCAGCGGGTGCCGGGCCGGGGGTCATTGGGCTGCAGGCAGTGGGTGCTGGACCAGGGGTGCCAGACACAGGCCAGGAGCCAAGCCTGAGCTTGGCCTTGACAGGACCCTCCCCAAGTCTGGGGCACATCCTCCCAGCCTAAGAGTGCAGACTAGGGTGGACGGGGGCAGACCCCATCGGAGACCCTGCCCTGGATCTGGGCCCGGGGCTCACAGCCGACCCTGAATGACCCCCACCTTTCACTGAGCCTGAACCCAAGACTGACCCCTGTTCCCAGAGTGAACCTGATCGCTGACCCTTGAGTCCAGAGGAAGCTTAGTTCAGAATGACCCCTGGCCCCAGCTGATCCCCCTGCTGGCTGCACTGGAGGCTGAGACGGCCAACGGGAAAGGACAGGGCCTCCTAGGTGCCTGCGTGGCCCCCCGCAGGGCAGGAGTCCCCTGGAGCAGCTGGGCAGCGGCCGTGCCCCCACCCCCACCTTGCCCGGGGCCAGGCCTTGGAGCTGCCCTGCCCTCCCCTCCCCAGGGCCCCTCCTCCACGAGCAGCCATGGGCCGCAGGGAGGTTGAATGGGGGACGCGCGCCTTTGTTCCCGTCCCTGCTCTGGCTCTGACCTTGAGAGAGAGACGAGAACAGAAGGAAAACAGAGCTTCAGCTCAAACCCGGCGGCTCTTGCCTTGGTGGCCCCTGCATGCAAATGAGCAGCCCCATTGCTGGGCCTTGGCCTGTGTCCTCACTGTGTGGCGTGCCCTTCCCGGCTCCCCTCACCCCCTGCAGGCTCAAGTCCTGCTGCCTTTGACAGAAGACACCCCAGCCCCGACTGTGAGGTCCCGTCACGGCAGCTCTCAGAAGGCAGGACTCGGGCCGGGCCGGGCCTGCTGGCGCCCCTGAGCTGCGGCGCCGCTTCCACAGCCCTGCGAGGGACGACTTTGTCACTGCGAGCCGCCACCCCGTGCTCTCCAGGGAGCCAGAGCGGTCAGCCTGGGCTGAGCTGGCCTGTGTTGCCCGGGGCCCAGGCCCGTGTGCCTGGGGTATCCAGGAGTCTATCTGGAGTCCCTGCCAGGTGACCCTGGGCCAGTCCTGGGACTTGGATACCCGCGGTCAGGTAAGAGGTCAAGACCCAGAAAGCCAGGGCACCCCTCACAGGCAGGCTGAGTTCCCAGGGGGCAGGGGACGGAGAACCCCGTGGGGGGCTGGGGAGTTGGGAGGGATAGGCCTTGCTGGGTGAGCAGAATTTTAATGGCACAAAGAAGGGAAGGACTCTCGGAAGAGCCTGCGCAGAGGGTGGGCAGTGGCGGGGGAGGAAGCTCAGGAGACACGCGGCGTGTACCCCCAACACCCTGGAGGTACGTGGCCCGGTGGGTGCCCCCACTCTGCTGGGAGGAAGGTTAGGTTGCCGATCTCAGGCGTCTGCCGCGCTCCCTCGCGTGGGGACATTCAGGAGCTGTTGGCCCTGGACCCTGCGCTCGCACCAGGCCCGGGCAAGCGGAGCAGACCCCGAGCGGAGCGCCCTGGCTGAGCACCGCGGCGCGGCCAGCGCTTGTGACGGAGAACCTCTAGGAAGTCAGGGTCTGGCGGCAGCGGGTGTGGCCCAGGCCCCAGCGGGCTCCCTGAGCGAGTCTGGCCCTCTGGGCCTTTGCTGTAGCTGTGCCCTCTGCCCTGATGCCCTTCCCTGTCTTACTCCCGGGTCAGATTTCGTCTGTGCGCGGACTTTCTGTGCTGTCGGGCTGGAACCTGCAATGGGCTGCTTGGACCCGGTCCTGAGCCGCTCTGACGGGTTTTACCGTATTGGGCGCCTATTATGTGCCGGGTTCGCTCAGGAGCTGAAGCAGGGCTCTTGTTCCATTTCCCAGGAGGGGAAACTGAGGCGCACACAGGCCACGTGACTACCCTGGGGCCCCGGGGAGGCGGCGGTGGGCCTGCACGTGCTGCGAGCACTTGACCAGGAGGAGGAACAGGGAGTTAGCTCAGCCGGGTCAGGGGTTGGAGGGGTTGCATGACCGGCGTGGGGGGCGGGGGGGCGAGGGGGCGGGTGAGTGCCTCGGTGCCTCTTCCTCTCCCAGGGCGGGGCTCCGCGGACTGCCTGCGTGTCCTGATGGAGAGGAGCGCGGGGACCCTTCCGAGGATCGGGGAGGGGGTAGTGGCTCGAGGCCCCCCCGCAGAGGTGGACGTCCCCGGGGCAGGACCCCTTGGCTGCCCCGCCGGGAGGGACAAGCGAGTCTGGGATGGTCTGGCCCCGGGGGCAGGGGTGGGGGGCGCGGCGGAGGCAGGAGGTGGCCCCCGCCCGGCCCCCCGCGTGGCCGGGGCACGGCAGGAGGGGGCGCCCGCGGCCCTCCCGGCGCTCGCGCGGGACAAAGGCCGGAGCCCCGGCCCCTCCCCGGCGGCTGCGGCGGCGGCCCGAGCTGCGAGAGTCCGCGCGGCCGGGGCCGGCGCCCGGGGTCGACCCGCCCGGCGCCCCGCCCGCCGCCGCCTGCCTTCTCGGCGCCCGAGGTCGCGCGCGCCCGGGCGGGGGCGTCCGGGGATCTCCAAGCGCCGGCGCGCCCTCCCCCCGCCCGCCCCGAGCCCGCCCGCTCGGCGGCGGCGGCGGAGGAGGCGGAGACCGCGGGCAGGCGGCGGCCAGGCGAGCGCGGCGGCCGGACCGGGGCCATGGCGCCCGCGCAGCGCCCGCTGCTGCCGCTGCTGCTGCTGCTGCTGCCGCTGCCGCCGCCGCCCTTCGCGCGCGCCGAGGACGCCGCCCGCGCCAACTCGGACCGCTACGCCGTCTACTGGAACCGCAGCAACCCCAGGTGAGCGCGGCCGCGCGCGGGGAGGCGGCGCCGGGGGCCCCGGGCGCCCCCCGCCCCGGCCGGGCCTCCGCGCCCCGCGCCGGGGGCGGCCCCCGCGCGCGCTCAGCCTCGGGAGCGGGTCCGGGGGCGGCGCTGCCGGGCCCCGCGGGAGAGCCCCCGGGGAGTTCCGGCGCCCCGGAGTTCGGGGCGCTCCCGCTCCTCGTGCGTCCTTCCACCCCCCGCCTCCCCCCGAGGGCGCCCCAGCGGACGCCCTGCGCGCCCAGAGCGCCGCCGGCCCCCGGAGTTCGGGCGACCCTCCGGCACCCTCCGAAGCTGCGCGGCCCCGAGCTCCTGTCCCGGACTTGGGGGTCCCCCGTCCTGGGGCCTCTCCCGGGACGCCTGCAGGCATCGGAGTTCGTGGAGATCCCCCGGGGACCCTTGTCGCTGGACTGCGGCGGGTGGGGGAGCACGGCCCCCCGGGGCAGGCGGTCCGCGGGTGCGTCCTGCCAGTGGGTCCCCACGTGAACTTGAGGAAGTTGCGACGCTCCTCCCTGCCAACCCAGGACCGCCTCGGCTCCAGGGGCCCCGTCCTAGCTTTGCAGAGGCGGGGAGACTGAGGAACCCAGGAGCGGTCCCTGGTAGCACCCTCTCCCGACCTCCTGGTGCTGACGGGGAAACTGAGGCACAGAATGCACGAGTGGCTGGCTCAAGGTCACCGTGCGCGGAGAGGAGCTGAGGCGGGGACCTGGGTGGCCTGGTGCCCAGCCTGCTATGCGGGCCGAGGAGTCCTGCCTGCCCGCACAACCTCCACCGCGCCGAGCGCTAAGTGCAATTTGGGGGGCAGCAGGGGTCCTTGTTAATCCGAGTGAGAAAACTTTGCCGGTGACTGACGGTGCCCTGGACCCCTGCAGAAGCCCCTGGGCCGTGCCTGGCTCCCCAGGGCCGGGTGAGCTGGGGGTCCCGTGGGAGGCGGGGCTCGGAGCCCAGGACTCCGGGGGTCCCAGGCTTCCACAGCGCTCCCAGGGCTGTCTGGGCCGCGCACGGGAGCCGACAAGGCCAGCCTCTCTGCTTCCTGTCCCCCTGCCACTGGTCACTTTCGAGTGCCGGCCACGACACCCTCCGGAGCCCGCCGTCCCCTGCCATCCCGTTACTGTCCCCTGGCGTCCTCGGTCCTCGGGCAGAAAGTTGCATAAAGGGCTGTCTTTGAGGCAGGCTCTGGGACAAGGTAGCCAGTGTCCTGTCCTGCCGGGGGGGGCGGGGAGCACCCAGACACCCCCCTCAGTCGCCCAGCTGTGGGCTTGGGCCCCAGGGCCGAGGGCAGAGACCCCGGGCTGCACAGGGACGGCCAGGCCACCGCGGAGTGCGTCCCCCGCGCGGCTGTGCCCTGCTGCTCACATGTGGGTTTGATTAAGGCTCTTCCCTGCGGCCGAGCGGGGAGCCCAACGGGCAGCGCCTCCCCGGCCCAAGTTTTTGGTTTCAGCTTTGGAATCTCCGTCCCAGGCCTGTCCTTTGTTCTAGCAAACACCAAACACATGAGGAGCCTCGAATGGGGACGGAAGGGGGGTGCTGCCTGCCGCCCCACCTGCCTCAGGGCTGTGGACAGGACCCCGGCCCGGGGAGGGAGGCAGCCCCTGGGGCCTGGCTCTGGCCTCGCACGGAGCGTCTCCTGTCGCTGACCTGACGGGCCTGTTCTGACCAGCTGCCCGGTGGCCTAGGGACCCCTCAGGAGGTTCGCTGCCCAGGGCTGGCCTGGGACCGCACCCGGGGATGGGTGTGTGTCGGACCCGGGAGGAGGGCTGGCGCTGGGCCTCAGGTCCAAGGGCGCCCAGGAACGGTGATTTCCCGGGGGCAGCTGCCCAGGGCCGAGGTGCAGGGTCAGCGAGCAGGCCCAGAGCGGGCAGCCGCAGTCCCGCGGGTGGAGACAGGCCGGGTTGGGCGAGTAACGGATCAGTGCTGCGGCAGGGGAGGAGATGGGAGGGGCCGTGCCCAGGAGAAGGGGCGCAGCAGGCACGGGGGTCAGAGCCGGGGCCGGGCGCACTTGGGTGGCGCGCAGGCAGTTGTGGGGGAGCTGCGGAGACCAGCGTGCCCCCCGTGCCCGGCCAGGCCTCGTACCTGCACCAAGGTAATAAGTCCGTGGCTCTGTTTCCCAAATCACATTCTCCTGCCGAGCAGCGCATTTCCTGCGCACACGCAGCTGGTGGACGTAGCCAAGCAGCCCCGTAGCCAAGCAGCCCCATAGCCGCTGTCCCCGCCGCGGCAGTGGGGCTGTGCGGTCCGGGGCTGCCGGCCGGCCGGCTCCTCCCCGGCCCTCGCACCTGTCCGCGGCCGGGGGTCCCGGGCCCTCACGCGGGGCCGCGTGTGCAGACGCAGGGCTCATGCTGTGGGGACGGTCCGGGCGCGCCTCGCAGCCTCAGGCTTCTGCGTGGCTGCCTGTGTGCTGCGTGCAGTCGTGGGGTTTTGTCCGTGGCGTGCCGGGGCCACGCGCGCGCGTGTGTGTGGCGCACACAGGTCTGTGTGGCAGGTGTGCACACGTGTGTGTACGTGTCTGCACGGCGTGTGTGTGTCGGGGGTGCGCGTGCACATCTGCATGTGTGTATCTGCACGCAGGGAGCGCGGGGGGGTCTGTACGGCCGCACACATGTGTCTTCAGCGTATGTGAGCAGCGTGCACACGTGTGTCTGCGCGTGTAGCCCGGCCCTGGCCGTCCCACAGCCTCCGCTGAGGCGGCAGCCAGTCCCACGATGGCGGCTGGAGCTCCCGCCTGCCCGGCGGCTCTTCCTCTGTCCCCTCCTCCAGACCGGGGCGGGGGGGGGTCCTTGCTAGGGAAGCGTGCGTGGGACCCGGGGCCCCGTGCTGCCTTGGTGTAGAGGGGTCACCAAGGTCCGGAGCTGGCGCTTTGCAGGGTCCCTGCTGTCCCCAAGAGTCCCCCACCCGAGGGAGACCTGCGGGCCCGCATGTGCAGGCGGGGCTGTGGGCTCCGGACCCATCCTGACCAGGCTCCCCTCAGCCGGCCGCCCTCACACGGGGCTGCGTGTGGATTTGAACGCGGTTTCGTGTGCTTCTGGGGGGGGGGCGGTGCACGTAGGAAAATGGCGACAGGAGAAGGGGCTCTCCCACAGTGGGGGTGCCGGGCAGCCGTGGTCCCCGGGGCGCTGCAGCCTGGCCGGGGCCTCTGCGGAGGATCGGCTTTGACCAAGGGATGCCGTATTTTGCTGTATGAGGGTTTTTTGTTTTGTTCGAGAAAGGTTGGTCTGCCTGGCCTCGGGGCTTGGAGGGCGAGGCCCTGTGGGTCTGGGTACCGGGGCCTGGAGGGGGTCGTGGGGGGGCCGTGGGGAGCCCAGGCTTGGACTCAGGGTTCTGGAAAACCAGGGCAGGAGCTCCTGCGGCGGCTTGCCTGCCCGGAGCCTCCGCGTCTCCGTCGGTGGGGGCCGCAGGCGTGGCAGTCGGCAGACGGTGGCGGGGCGCATGTGGCCGGGCACGGCCCCGGCACGACACGAGGGGCTCGGAGGTCCCCGACAGAGAAGGTACCTGGGGCAGCTTCTGCAGGAAAAAAGAGGGGGCTCTGGGGCTGGACCCCAAATCTGCACGGACAACGACGGTCCAGCCCGAAGGACAGGCTGAGGACCCGCTGAGGGGCCCGGGGTGGGGGGCGGTTCTGAGGGGCCCTCACCCCCCACAGGCCTGGGCAACTTCCTTCCGGGTCTGAAGCTGGGGCTGCAGGCTTCCTGGGGTCCGATGAGCGGGCGGGCATTCCCTGTCCCCAGCCTCGGTCCCTCCCGCCGCGGACCCCCCTGGGCAGCCTCGGTGTGCAGGTGAAGACGCTGGGGCTGGGGGTGTGCTGTCCCCGCCGCGGCCCGCGGCCTCTGCCTGCTGAGGAGCTCTGACCGCCGGGGCCCCAGCAGACATCTCCCTGAGGTCCGTGGGCTCCTCAGGGTCACGGGGGCATTCGGGGGGCTCTGGGAGGCAGTGCTTCTGAGGGCCCGCCTTCCATCGGCCCGTCTGCAACCCCTAAGACAGGCCCGTGTGCCCCCCGCGGCACCCCTGCACCCCTTCCCTCATCCTCGGGAATGGGGGCCACGCCAGCCTTGGTCCATCATGTGGCTTTGGTGGGGGGGGGTTCTCTTCCGGAGACGAGTCCAGAGGGAGGGCCTGGCTGTGTCCCGCCTGCCCGGCCACCGTGCTGCCTGTGCGCCGCCACACAGCTGATGGCAGGTGCGCTGAGCACAGGCCGGCTTAGTCTCAACCTCAGACAGACTTTGAACTCGGCCGGGTGTCGCCCCCATGCCTGCTCTCTTGCGCCCCCGTGGGGGGGAGGGGCTCAGCCGCCATGCCTCGGCCTCCCTGTTGGACCTGGGGATTTGGGCTTCGAGGGGCTCCATTCACCACGTGAGCCCAGCTGTCCCCTCCGCTGGCCCAGCCGCAGCCCTGCCCCCGTCCGGTCTGCCCGCCCCGCTCGGTCTCACGGGCCCCGGAGGGAGTGACTCATCCGCGGCTCCGGGGAGCAGGCGCGGTGGGGCTGGCCCCCCTCCCGGAGGCTGCCGAGTCCGAGGCTGGCTAAGAAACACGGGGGCAGGGGCGGGGCCAGGTCCGCCCCTGCGGTGCGCCATGCGGCCATGCGCCTGCTGAGCCCGGGGTCCAGAGGGGGGCCGACCTCTGGCTTCAGCTCCAGGCTTGCTGCTGCCCTTTACCCCGTGCACGCACCCTTTCTGAGGCTGACCCCGCACCACCTTGGGGCCGGGGTCTCTGAGGCCCCACCCGGCACCTGAGCTCCCTCCCCCCGCCCACCGCAGCAGGAGGAAGGTGGCCAGGCCTCAGGTGGCGTGACGGAAGCTGGGGGTGGGTGCCGAGGCCTTGGGGGCCTCGCTGGGGATGGCAGTGGGAGGGGCTGACCCTGCCCGGCCTGGGCCTCGGGAACCGGGGACGGGGCGGCCTGAGTGTGGCCGTCCCCCCCACCCCAGCCCTTGGCAGGAGGCCCCTTTACTAGGAGGCGTGACTGAGTTCGGGCCAGGGAAAGGGTCCCTAGTGCAGCCAGCAAGGATGCTGCCGCCTCACCCCTGCCTCAGCTTGGGGGGGCAGCAGAGCCCTCCCCACTCCCATTTTGGGTGAGACTCCTAATTAGTTGCTTTGCTATTAGCATCTAATGACTTGACAATGGCCCGATTGGAGCTAATTAGCTGCGGGCTGGGCAGCTGCGGGGGTAGGGGTGGGGTTGGCGGGCAGGGTGGGGTCCAGCAGGGGCTGGGAGGGCTGCCTGGAGGAGTGCACGCTGGCAGGCAGCCGCCAGTGTGAACAAGAGTGGGGGCGAAGGTGTGGCGCGGGAGAGGGAAGGCTGTACGTCTGAAAGCCTCAGGAGCCCTCTGTCTGGGAACCCATCCCAAGTCAGTCATTAACCCCTTAGTGAGAATTTTTATCTCTATCTGCTGCTCCCATGGAGTATTTGCATATCAGGCTTCCGCACTAATGGAGAAAATGAAAGCTTTGTGTTTCTTGCACCGGCTTGGTTTTGGGGTTGGGCCCTTCCCCCACACAGGCGCCACCCTGAGCAGGGGCCGGGCGCCCGCCCCTGGTTTGCCCGCCAACTTGGAAGCAGGAAATGCCAACGCAGCAAGGCCATCGCTAATTTAGAGCCGGGGAGGGGAAATCTTAGGCAGCCGGGGCTTGGGTGTGGGGGGCTTTCTGTGAGCCCCCTGCCTGGGGTCCTTACCCCACGTGTGGCCCACTGTCTGCTCCCTGTGACTCTGGCACCTCAAAGACCTTGAATCTTTGGCCTTTGTTTGATCAACACACGCGTGGAGGCATAATGCTCAGGGCCTGTGCTGGCAGCGAGGGTAGGGGTGAGGAGGCTGCCCCCACGGTCCGGGAGGGCGGACAGCAGACTGTGTGAAGGTAAAAATATGATGTTGGAACGAGAGACGTGATGAGGGGGCAGAGGCGGGTGAGAGCATGCCAGGCAGAGCAGCACGTGCAAAGGCCCTGGGGTGGGAACAGGAGCAGCCAGAAGGCTGGTGTGGCTGGAAGAGAGTGAGCTGGGGGCCGTGGGAGGGCGACGAGGGTGGGGCAGTGGAGCCACATGGGCCTCATGACCTGGGGGGACTGTGAGTTTTATTCCAAGCGAGGGGGAGCTTGGAGCCCCTGCCTCAGTGGGTCTGGTTTACACTGAGAAAAGCGAGCCCCGGACTTGGGGAGGCCAGGAACCTGGCCCGCCTGGTGGGGCCCAAGCCTCCAGCCTCTGAACCGGCAAAGCAGCCTTGGGTTGGGATGTTTTCCGGAAGATGAAAGGGGCGAGGAGAGTGGTGTTGGTCCAGTGCGGGGGGCAGGGGGGGGGGCAGGCCTGCGGGAGGGGCAGGGGCAGGGGTGGAGCCAGAGGGCCTGCGAGGCTCGGCAGCCCCACCCCCCACCCTCCGAGTCCGTTCACCTTGAGGGGCTCTGCAGAGGCCGAGTGTGCACCCGCCTCAGCGGGCCAGGGATGAGAGGGGAGACTGAGGGCCGGGGGGCCAAGGCCAGCACGGCAGCAGGGCCCCGTGTCCCCCTCCCCCCCTCCCCTCCCCTGCAGGGTCGGGCAGGCGCTTGGCCACGGCTGTCATCGATTGGCTGATCAATGGGGCTTTCAATGGGCTGGGAAGGAGCAAAAATGACTTTTGAAAAAGCCTGGAGTGGCTTTTGCATCGATCTCGCCCAAGCAGCCAGAGCACATAACCAGTCCATGAGACCCCTGGCTTGGCCCGGCAAGGGGCAGCCGAGGGACGGGCAGGGCCGCTGCCTGACCCTGCCCCGGCCTGCCCCTGCCCCTGCCCCGGCCTGACCCTGACCCTGTCCCAGCCTGGCCCTGACCCGGCCTGACCCTGACCCTGCCCTGGCCTGACCCTGACCCTGTCCCGGCCTGGCCCTGCCCCGGCCTGACCCTGACCCTGCCCTGGCCTGGCCCTGACCTGGCCTGACCCTGCCCCTGCCCCGGCCTGACCCTGCCCCAGACTGACCCTGACCCTGTCCCGGCCTGGCCCTGCCCCGGCCTGACCCTGACCCTGACCCTGTCCCGGCCTGGCCCTGCCCCGGCCTGGGCCTGACCCTGACCCCTGCCCCGGCCTGACCCTGCCCCAGCCTGACCCTGACCCTGTCCCGGCCTGACCCTGACCCTGTCCCAGCCTGACTCTGGGCTGCCCTGCCTCTGTGCAGGGCCTGCTATGTACATGCCTGGAGTTCTCAAGGACTGTCCCCATTGTACAGAGTTGGAAGTTGAGGCTTTGAGAAGAGAATGAAGCAGAAGACGTAGCTGGGTGCAAGCCCGCGCCTACGCACAGAAGAACCACGTGCAGCCACAGCTGACCTCCACTCCCTGGGTCTCACTGCTACATACACTGAATCTGCAAACAGGACCCCACTTCCGTGGGGTGGGCAGGGCTCCCCATTCCTGGATGACCCTGAGAGCAGGGAAGGGTCTGGAGGTGAATCTGCTCCCTCTGACCCTCCGAGCCGGTGTTCTCGGGAGTCTCGACCTCTGCGGCTGAGCTCCAGTGTCAGGCTGGGAAACTGAGGCACAAATGGGCAAGGTCTCTGCTGCCTGGCCCCCACCTCGGAGGGGGTGGAGTCCCGGAGCCGTCCCCCAACCTGGTGCAGAGCCTCTGGGCTGCAGGGGGGACAGCCAGGTGCCAGCTGAGAATCCCGCCCCCCCTCGGGTGCGGCCGGCATGGGGGCTGGGGCACAGAGGCGGTGCAGGGCGAGCTGGGATCCAAGCAGCCTGGGCCCTTTCTGCCCTCAACCCTCACTGGGCCTCAGTTTCCACGCCTGTATGGAGAGGGAGGAGGGACTCCCCACCCTCCCTGCTCGGGCCTTTTATGTGCTAATAAAGCTCCTCTCCCAAGGCCCCCTGTCCCACCTCGGTCCTGGCTGCGTTTACATGACAGGGACCCAGGGGACCTCGTCCCGGAGATCTAAGGGCTCCTGGCGCTGTAGCCTGAGGCAGTGATGGTGGGGTGGTGGGGGGAGCTGACCTCCATCCTCGCCAGATGAGGCTGGGTCTGGGGGAGCTCCCCAAGGAAGGGGCACGGGCTGCGTGGCAGTTGAGACCTCCAGGGCAAAGGCTGGGAAGCAGGGGGGGGGGGCCTGGTGAGGTGGCCAGAAGGGTGGGGGGCAGCTGCCAAATTGCAGAGGCTCTGGAAGGAGGTCACACGGGACTAAAGGAGTTGAAGCTGGGGGTCGAACCCGGAGCACCTCTGAGCTGGGCTGGGGCGTCCTTCACGCCAAACCTACCCCCCGCAGGGAAACTGAGGCGAGGAGAGGGGTCCGAGCCAGCCCCCCGGGGGCCCAGAACACCCAGCCCGCGGCCCCACACCACCCTGTGCCTTCTTGGCAGGCAGATCCACAGGAAGGAGCGCGAAGGCGGCTGCATGTGGTGGGCAGCATGGGGCCTGCCTGGAGGAGGGGACATAGCAGTCAAGCAGTAACATGTTTTTGGAGAGGGACCTCATCATGGGGGGAGCAGCGTGTGCCAGCCCTGCCTGTCACGGAAGGCCCCAGATGTCCGGCCTCGGAAGGGAAGCGGGGTCCCAGGGGCCCTGCACGACTGCATGCGGTTACCCAGAATGCCCGGCGGCCGCCCCTCCTCCCTCTTGGGGGGCGGGCGGCTCCAGGGCTGGGCCCTGCCCCGGGGCGCGGGTTCCGGCCCGGCCCGGGGTGGGTGGGGGTGCAGGGCGGCGCCCGCCCGCGCTGACCGGCGCCCCGGTCCCCCACCCGCCCCCCGGCCTCCGCGGCGGCCGGGCCAGGTTCCACGCGGGCGCGGCGGACGCCGGCGGGGGCTACACGGTGGAGGTGAGCATCAACGACTACCTGGACATCTACTGCCCGCACTACGGGGCGCCGCTGCCGCCGGCCGAGCGCATGGAGCACTACGTGCTCTACATGGTCAACGGCGAGGGCCACGCCTCCTGCGACCACCGGCAGCGCGGCTTCAAGCGCTGGGAGTGCAACCGGCCCGCGGCGCCCGGGGGGCCGCTCAAGTTCTCCGAGAAGTTCCAGCTCTTCACGCCCTTCTCCCTCGGCTTCGAGTTCCGCCCGGGCCACGAGTACTACTACATCTGTGAGCACGGGGGGCCGGGGGTGCACGGGGTGCTGGGGGAGGGGGCGGGGGGCCGGGGGTGCACGGGGGTGCTGGGAGAGGGGGCGGGGGTGCACGGGGCACCAGGGGCAGCTGTGGGGTGTCAGGGGCTCAGGGGTGAATGGGGTGCAGGGGGGGACCCGGGGGTGTATGGGGCACGGAGACGTGGGTGGGGAGTGGGGGGAGGGGGCCAAGTGCAGGGAGTGTTGGAGCAGCACGTGTGGGGAGGAGGAGGCAGAGACAAGGGGGTGGCGGGGCGCGGGCCAGAGAATGTGGAAGGGGGAGACTGGTGGCACTGGGGTTGGGGGTCAGCAGAGGCCTGTTATGGGGAGATGGGGTCTGGGCTGGCCCTGGCCTCTGTGTTCCCTGGTCAAGCTCTTGAATGGAATCATCATCCTTCTAGCCAGCCCCAGAGGACTCACTATCAAGAGTCCCCATTTTACAGATGGGGAAACTGAGTCTCGGAGTGGGGCTGAGATCACAAACCCTCAGCTGCCCCTGCATGACCTGTCTCCGGGTCAGCCCACCTTTGCGCTCGTGGGCGCCGAGAGCAGGGGTCTTCACTGCTCCTCCCCCACCCCGAGGGAGACAGGCGTAGGGACCCTGGTGGTCAAAGCCAGGGGTGAAGGCAGAGCTGGTGTTCTGCCCATCACACCCTGGGTTGGGCAGGGAGCTCCCAAGCCCACCCCGGCGGCCTCCCCCTCAGGCCCCCCCTCAGGCCCCCCTGGCCCAAGATTCCCCTCGGACTGTGGAAGCTGCTTTTCAAAGCTTGGGGACCCTGAGGCACGCCCGCCCCGCGGCAAGTGGGCCGGGCTGAGGGCAGGCTGCCCCCTGCTCACCAGGGGCATCCAGGGGGCATCCTTCTTCCTCCCGGACAGACCACTGGCAGGGGCTGGGGAGCCCCCACCCTGCCGTGACTCGGCCGCCCGTTACTCTCCACGCACCTTAGCGGGGAATGCGGGAGCCTGGGCACCGGCCCCGCCAGCGTGGGGCACCGTGTGGGGCTGCCGTCTGTGCAGAGCCGCTGCAGCTCGGGGGGCCGCCGAGACCCCGTTTCTCAGCCTCCTGGGGGCCCGCAGGGAGCCGGGTGGGGGGCGGGGTCCGCCCCGGGGCTGGGGGGGGGCGGCCCCTCCACACCCTCGGTCCTGCCGAGTCAAATCAAACTCCGCGAGGCTCCCTTCTTCTGCTCTGTTTGGATTATTTTCCTTTTAATTCAAGAAAGAAGCGGGTGGAGGCAGGGAGAAGGTGTTTAAATTAAGTCCTCATAATATAAGAAAAATTACATTTTTCTTTCCAGGACGAGAGTTTCATAAAGATAATTATTGTAATTATTCGTCCTATCTCTATGACGAATGTTATTTTTATTACATGCTTTTTTATCTTCATCTCCCAGCGTGAGGGGCTTCTGGGGGACGGGCAGAGGCGGCGGCCAGCAGGCGGGTGGGGGGCGGTCGTGCACACGGGGTGGGGGGTGCCCGTGCCATTCACTGCCAGCTCCCAGCCCTTCCGGGAGCTTCCTTGTGGGCCAAGAGGCAGGAGCAGTAAAGGTGGGCTCTGGAGCTGAGGACCCAGGGCTTCGGCCTCCCCGTGAGCGTGAGGCCTGGGTCCAGCAGGGTGCGCCCCTCTCCGCGTGAGGGGGGGCATAGCCTGTCTCCCGGGGGTGACTGTCTTCTGTTGGCTCCCAGGTGGAGGTAATCATTTCCAGACACAGGAGGCCCAGATGGGGGGTGACTTGCCCACGGCACCAGATCAGTCGTTCGGTTACACTGATTTTTGTTGTTGATTGGTTAAAAACAAACATTTTTATTCATCACTTTCAAGCCTTGCTCTGTGCTGCCTTGGGGTGAGATAGAACCAGACAGACACCCCCAGTCTCTGGGGTCGGGGTTCAGCAAAGGGAGGAGCAGGGGGAGTGTGCAGGACTTCTGGGAAATAGAGGGCATTACTTCTGGGGCTTTGACGTGTGATTAGGAGTTTCATGGGTGGAACCTCCCCTAGCCTTGGGGCAGGGACATGGCCCCAGGAGGTCTCTGGCACTGAGCCCCCTGCCCAGCAACCCCCGTCCCCTTGTCTTCCAGCTGCCACGCCGCCCAATGCTGTGGACCGACCCTGCCTGAGGCTGAAGGTTTACGTGCGGCCGACTAGTAAGTGCTCAGGGCATCGTGTAGGGTTGCACCCCCCCCCCCGTGTCCGGAACCCACAGAGCCCGTTGAGTGGTCAGCAGAGCCGGGGAGTGGTCAGAACACGGCCCTGGGAGTCCCACAGCCTCAGCAACGGCTGGGGCGGCTCCTGCGCCCGGGCCTCGGTGTCCTCGGGTGTAAATGAGGACATTCAGACCCTCGGCACCGAAGGTGAAGCCTGTGACCCCGCCCTCTGCCCCTTTCATCCAAGAGTGAACTCCAGGAAAGTCCCCCATAGACCAAAAGTGCCCATTTTCTTGAAACGTCGTAATTGTATCCAGAGCCTGTGACTTCACCCAGGTGCCAACACACGTTATTTGGCACCTGCTGTTTGCCATGCTCTGCACCGAAGGAAGGCACAGCCCCAGTCGAGATGGACAGAAATCTCGGAGTCTGGGAGGTGCAGCAGAGGAAGAATGTGGGTGAGGGGGTGCGGCCAGTTGGGGGGGGCCACCTGCTGACCATCCCGTCCCCGTGTCCCCCCAGACGAGACGCTGTACGAGGCCCCGGAGCCCATCTTCACCAGCAATAACTCGTGCAGTGGCTTGGGCGCCTGCCAGCTGGCCCTCACCACTGTCCCTGTGCTGTGGACCCTCCTGGGCTCCTAGGCCCCGCCCACCGGGACGGCCCCGCCCAGCGAGAGGCCCCGCCCACCGGGACAGCCCCGCCCAGCGAGAGGCCCCGCCCCCCCCAGAGGCGGCCTGAGGCTGGCGAGGCTCCTGCCCCGCCGGCCGGGCCGCGCCAGGACCAGCCCCGGGGGCCGTGGCTAAGCGGCCGGTGTGTGTCCAGCCTCCCGGCCAGGCCATCTCTTCCAGGTGCTGGAGAAGCCCAGGAACCTCTCGGCAGTGTTGTTCTTTTACGGCTGAATCAGAAAGACTTGAGTTTTTAATTTAATTTATTCCTTGCTGTTGCCGGTGACTTTGGGAAGGAAACCGTGGATGCTGCGTGGGTCCCTGGCCCCCTGGAGACCCCTGCTCTGGCCACTCCATTTGCTGGGTCCTGGCTGGAGGCCACTGTGGACCTCCCAGGTGCCCTGGAACAGGCTGGTCTGAGAGGGAAGGGGCCAGGGATGAGTGCCCCTAACTCTGGTCCAGGAATCCGAGCCCACCTCAGACCCCCGCCCCCCTCCTCGCTCCCGGTGATGACCGCTCCGCAGAGTGGACATCAGGTGTTTGAGCAGAGGCCGCTGTGGCGCCCTGGCCCCGTCACAAGCCCGCCCCCTTGACTTAGAACCACTTAGGCCCCACCCTGTCCCCCCTGCCACTGGTGATCGCCCGGAGGCCAAGAAGACGTGACGTTTCTGTAAATAGAGCCAGCAAGTATATACTGTGATTTATTTTTACCGTATTCCTAAAGACGGCCTGGAAAGTTTCTTTTTTTCTTACCCCTTCACAGGAGGGGGGGGCACTTTTATTTTGGTGGGGGGTGGGGGGACTTTTTAGAGTAGAAGCCGCACTTTGCAGTAAGCTCGTGTGTCTGTCGGAGCCCCTCCCCCTACTCTCGGAACTAATAATGTTTATAAAAAAAGAGAAAACAGGACAAAACAAAAAGCGGGGGCCACCCCACCAAGAAAAGACAGCTCCCCCAGACACTTTAAGGAAGCAAACTGCATTTATACAGATTTCATATTTCCTACCCGCCTTTCCTGCTCTGTGTTTTATACATATTATATATAGATGTATATACAGAGGCTCCTGGATGCGGGGGGTGGGGGGGCTTTTGTAGGGGCGGCTGGGCGGGTGGCGTCGCCACGCCTGGAGCTGGTGACTGGGACCCCCCTCCATTACAATCAACTTTGGATTCTGTATTTTTTTATAATAAAATGAGTGTAAACTTCAGGGGTGTGCATGTGTGTCTGGGGCCATCGGCCCCAGTTAGAGGGGCCCTTGGGGGTAATAACCGGGAGGAATGGGACTGGACTCTGCCAGGGAGAGGCGCCCTTGAAGACCATCGGGATCCGTCGGGATGCATTCTTTGCTTGTTTGGAGGTTAGGCCCTGGGATGAGCATCTTACGGGGTGCTGTCTCCTTCACTGCCCTCCACGGGCTTTGGTTTCCCCTCTGAGAAATGGGAACAAGCCCCCTGCTCCCCGGGGCAGCTGGGGGGGTGGAGGGAGGAGCCCGGCTGGCTGAGATGCCCGGACCGGGGCTGCCCAGGGCTTCCTGCTCCCCAACCTTGCGGGGAGGCGGGCCCTCCCATCCTGTGACATCGTGTCGCCAAGATCTGCTGTGTGACTCAGTTTCCCTAACTGCCCAGGGCAGGGTGAGGTCTGTCTGTTGCTTTTTTAAGTTATTATTATATCTACAGTTTGTTTATTTTGAGAGAGAGAGAGAGAGAGCGTGCGCACAGGGAGGGGCAGAGGGAGAGAATCCCAAGCACCCCGACTCCAGGCTCAATCAACGAACAGTGAGATCATGACCTGAACTGAAATCAAGAGTCAGAAGCTTAACGGACTGACCCACCCAGGGGCCACGCCCCCTTTTTAAAATTTTAATTTTACTTTAGAGCGTGAGCAGGCGAGGGGCAGAGGGAGAGAGAGGGAATCCTAAGCAGGCTCCATGCTCAGCACAGGCTCAATCCCACCATCCAGGGATGGTGACCCAGGCCGAAATCAAGGGACGATGAAGGCACTGAGCCACCCAGGCGCCTCTGTCTGTAGCCTCTCAATCCCTTTCTGGCTTTGCAAAAGGCACGTGTCGGGGGCCGTGGGTCCCGGGGCCTTCACCCCGGCCTAGCCCCAGATGGGGGCACAGAGAGGCTGAGGGGCCACCCAGCAGGCCCTCTCGGCTGCTGGTCGCCTTGGCGGTGCGTCCAGGACCCAGCCTCTGGGGCACAGTTAGCGGGGCGGAAGGGCTGACTGCTAATTAATTCGGCCGAGCTGGGCCCGCGACAGGGCCGGCGTCTTAATGAAGCCCGTGAGCGGCACAAAGGCCCCTGTGTGCGCCCCGCCCGCCCTGCCCGGGTCTCGGGATGCACGCGGACGCCGCACTGCGCACCGCGGAGGGAGACCCTGAGGACCCACTGCCCCAGCCAGGACCCCGAGCCCCAGGGGAGGGAGCCGGAGGCAGGACTCAGTCCCCGGCCGTGGGGCGGGATCTTAGCAACTGACCGTCATCTTCTTATTAAAGAAAAAGTTATTGAGATACAATTCACACAGCACACCACCCACCCATTTAAGGTACAATCCCAGGGGCGGCTGGGGCTCCGTCGGTGGAGTGTCTGGCTTCAGCTCAGGTCATGATCTCGCGGTCTGTGAGTTCGAGCCCCGTGTCGGGCTCTGTGCTGACGGCTCGGAGCCTGGAGCTGCTTCCGATCCTGTGTCTCCTGTGTCTCCCTCTCTCTCTCTGCCCCTCCCCGCTTGCTCGCGCGCTCTCTCTCTCTCTTTCTCAGAAATTAAAAAAAAATTAAAAAATTAAAAAAGAAGTATAATCCCACAGTTTTTAGTACATTCACAGAGTTATGCAACCATCACCTCTATCCAATTCCAGAACATTCCGTCACCCCAAAGGAAGCCCTGCCCCCATCACCAGTCACCCCCAGCCCCTGGTACCCCGTCCTGTTCTGGACACGTCTCGCACGTGGACTCACACCTGCGTGGCCTCCCGTGTCTGGTTCCCTCCCTGAGCATCATGTGTTTGGGGTCCGTCCGCGGGGCGGCGGGTGGGGGCGCCTCGCCCCTGCTCGCTGCCGAGGGACATTCTGTGTGTGGATATATCACATTTGGTTTATCCATGCACCAGTTCATGGACGTTTAAGGCATTTCCAGTTTTTTAAGACAGAATTTTAGCACGAAAGTTGACCTTGGATGGGTAAGGACAAAAACAGTCTTGCTCCACCTCAGGGTCTTGGCGCATGCTGTTCCCCTGTGTAGTGTACCCTTCCCGCAGGTCACTGATCGGCTCTCTCCCGGAGACCTTTCAGATTAGGTCACACGTCCTCTCCCTGGCCAGGTGGCCCCTCACCCCACACCCTCCATGTGGTATCGCTGATTCTTGCCTGTTCTCCCTCCCCCCCCCCCCCGAGGTTCCCAGGGGGCAGGGCCTGTCCTGTTGGGTCATCACCGGGGCCCAGGGTGGGACACTCCCCTTGGGTTTGTCATCTGCTATGTGCATAGACACGCACACGCGTGTGCAGAGAAAGCACCTAGCCGCACTCGCCCACGCACACTCTTACTACCTCCCGGCTGCTTGCGTTTAGGGCCTGGGTCGCCAGGCCGCCCACCACTGCCTCAGGGACCACTGTCAACATGAGGAGGGGCTGCTCACACCCAGGGCTGTGTTGTGTTCATGGGGACCCTGCGGCCCCCTCCAGCCCCCCTGTGCCCCCCCAGCCTCTCTGCAGGCCCCCTGGGCAGCCCTCTGTATGTGGCCCCTGAGCAGAGGGCACTCGAGGCAGGTTATTAATGCTGCCTGGGTGCCCTGCCAAGGGGAGGGGGTCTGGGAGGTGGGGGGGGAGCACTTCCGCCTGCTCTGGGTGAGATTTGTGGTTGTATTGCTTTGGGGGGTCAGCCCTCAGTCCCAGGATGGGGCGCTGGCTTCCCTGCTCCATCTCCACTGGGAAAAAGACCGAAGACCCCAGCACCCCTGACGCTCAGGGCTGGGGACTCCCCTGAATTCAGGGGTCCTGGGGAGCCCCTCAAGCACAGTCATGCTGCTGGAAGCCCCCATGGCTCCTGCGTCCTGCTTCGAGGAACCACCAGGGTCCTCCCCCTGCTCCCCCACCCTCCCTGGGTGCACCCAGCCCCACCCCCCCAGGGCCACTGCCCTGCCCGCACCTTCCCTCCCTCCCCCTCCCTGCTCCTCGAGGCCCCAGATCTGGTCTGTCTCCTCTAGACGTCAGCTCGCTCGGGCGGGAATCCTGGTTGCCGCTGAGTCCTCAGTGCCTAGAATGTGCCCGGTACACAGTAGGCGCTCCATGAATTCTCGTTGATGGAATGAATGCATGAATGTGGCAGCCACCTGATCAGGAAACTGAACATAACATACGAATGATTGGTGTTTCCGATGCCAGTGTCGGCGATCCCAGCAGGCACTGAGCGCGCACCTACTGTGTGTGCCTAGTGCTGGGCCCTTCCTGGGTCTGCGTGCCCTAGTGGCCTCCGGGCTCAGTATCTGGGGGACTTTCAGGCCATGGGGGGAGGCCACGCTGCTGGAGCCCCTGATCAGGCTGCAGGTGGCCAGGCGGCCACTGATGGACAAGTAAAAAGCACGTTCACAGCCCAGAAGCCCCCGGGGAGCAATAGATCACTGCACAGTGACACCCAAGCCGGAAATTAAGTGGACGCAGACAGGCAGGTGTGGCCAGCAGGGCAGGCTGCCCTGGGAGGGGGGTTCCTGTCCCTTGCCGCCCCCCCCCCCCAGCTGCTGGGCCGCAGGCATCATTAGATGCCAGGCCTCTGGGCTGGGGCTGGGTGTGGGCAGGAGGGGCGGGGGCCGCATGCCAAGCAGGCAGCAGGTCCGCACAGACACAGGCAGAGACCAGACTGGGGGACAATCCGGGCGCAGCCGTGGAGGCGGACGGGGGCGGGGGGCCACGGGAGGCTCTGGGGCAGGACTGGGACCCAAGGAGGAATGGACCCTGGAGGGTGGGGGCGGCCAGGCATGAGGAGCTGCACCGCCCGCCCCTGGGGGGTCCAGCGCCTCTGCCCCCTGCACACCCCCTGCCTCGGGGGCCCTGCGGGCGCTCTCCACACTTCTGGGAACCTCAGGGTTGCGGGTGGAGACCCCTGCCACTGAGGCCAGAGACTGGGAGAAACTCGGCGGGGGGGGGGTACTGCTTAGCGGTAGTCAGTCCCGGATGCGCCTGGCAGATGCGGGAGGCTGAGCGGCCAGGGCCCCACAGACAGTGCAGCCTGTGGGGGGCACTGAGTGGTCGGGGAGACGGCTCTCCTGTGCAGATGGGGACAAGGCCCCACCAGGGCCCTCTGGTCCTTGGAGTGAGTCCAGGGTGACCCCCAGGCCTCCGTGCGACCGGGATTTGGATCTGAAGGAGGCCTAGGGCAGCCCGGGGGATGAGGTCAGAGATCCCCCCCCTCCCTGTCCAGCAGCCAGGAAGCATTCCTGGGTCCCCGCGCTGGGGACCCCAGGGACTGCCCTCTCCCTGAAGCTCTCATGTACCAGCTTGGGTCTGGGAGCCCAGGAGCCCTGCTGTGGGCTCAGTCGCCCCCCGCCCCCTAAAGGCAGTGCCTTTCCCTCTGGGCCTGGGGCGCTGGCCTGACTCCCAGGCTGGGTGGGGGTAGAAGCGTCCAGGAGAGATCCCGGAAAGTCATTTCGGCGGATCCCCTCCCCCTGGCCTCCCAAGCCCGAGCTGGGGGGGGGGGGCACTGCTGGAGCGCAGGGGGGCGGAGATGGCGCTTCCCCGAGCCCCCACCCCCAGCCCCCAGCCCCCTCCCCCGAGCCC